AGCGCCCCCTGCTGGCCCCACTAACACCTCTTCCAGCAGCAACCTTGGTTTTTCCCAGGAGGTCTCCCATCCCAGTACTGACCAGGCTCACACCTGCTTAGCTTCAGTGGGTTGCCAGTTGTGAGTTGCAGGGTGATATGGCTGCTGGCTTAATTTTGCTTTGCAGGAGATGCTAGCTGAAAGTTGTCTACTATCTGTGAGCAGCTCTTACGATAAAGAGTCAAAAATTCTCTGTTGATGTCAACGTTGTTTCTACATCATTGATTTTGGTGGCTTGAGAAATTTGCTATTTTGATTGGCAGGGAGGATATCTGGTTTGATGATGTTGACCCAGATGACATAGAGGCTGCCATAGGAGCAGATGCGGCGGAGATAGTGAGGAAGAAGCTGGGAATAAAAAAGTCTGAACCCCAGACAGTAGACAGTGTACTGGTGAAGGATTGTGCATTTGAAGGGTAAGTTGACTGAACTTTCTTGTTTTTCTTTTAGTCTTTCTTTGCTGCCTGTAATTATTTTTGGGTGTTTGCCTTTTATGAAATGTAAATTCTAAATCATATAATAAGATCGTGATGCGTAATCTTGAGGACTGAGATTAAGTTTGGTCCATCATCAGTTATACTGTATATATATATTTGTAATGCATGAGTAGTTCTGAAATCAAGAATGTATTGTAAATAGATCTAGTCTTTTGCAGAATATTTCTTTTTTTTTTGGTTACAATGAGAAAGTCTCTACTGAAAGTCAATGATCAACTGTTTGTTTTAATAGGTTAACTAAAACCGTAGCCATGGACTGTGAGATGGTTGGGGTTGGAGAGGATGGCGAAGAGAGCATTGTAGCTCGAGTTTCCCTCGTGAACCAGTATGGCAAATGCATTTATGACAAGTATGTGAAGCCCACAGAGAGGGTGACTGACTACAGAACAGCTGTCAGTGGAATCAGACCCCAGGATATCAAGAATGGTGAGTATTGAATTATTCAGATAAAAGTTGTACAGAACTTCTTCATGTCCACAGAGTTAAGGGCCATTTGAAATCTGGACAAGAAAGTGTACTTTAATATGCAAATTGAATGTCTGCAGGATTAATTGATATTTTAACTTTTACTTTAAATCTGGACTACATTTCCCAACATTGTGCTTCACTTCCCATAGGAGAGGATGTAAAGGTCATACAGAAAGAGGTGTCTGATATTTTACGAGGAAGAATTTTAGTAGGCCATGCTGTGCACAATGATCTCAAGGTAAGGTGCTAATCTATCTTTTTAAAATTCAATTAAAACATTAAAAACACTGGTGTAATTAGTGTATGAAATTGCTTATTTTAAAACAGAATATTATCATAATTCATACATTAGTATTGTTTCTATTGATTTGTGAAGGATATAGTTTAAAGAAAAATGCTGTGGTTTGCAAGAATATACATTTGTTTATGTATTGGTTTTGCAGATTTTGTTTATAGATCACCCAAGGAAGAAAATAAGGGACACTCAGAAATATAAACCTTTTAAGCAAAGGTTAAAGGTAAGACATTTGAGAGACGTTTATATTCAAAAGATACTTATCCTCAAGATTTTAAGAACAGGATTTTTCAGTGTACTCTACCAAGAATTCTCAACTTCATTATTAAATAAAACTTTTTTCCTGCAAAATTACTACGTCATAAGTACATTGGTGTATTAATAGGTATTTTGCTCCTATTAATAAGTGTTTAGCTTCTAGAATCTATATTATGAAAACTAAATATATTTCATTTATGCTGAGACATGCGTCTGCAATTATCAAATGAGTCAAAAATGTAATGTTTTCTTCTTTAATATCTAAACAGTGCAGTCGCCCCTCCCTCAGACATCTCTGTGAGAAGATTCTTAATGTAAAAGTCCAACAAGGTGAACATTCTTCGGTAAGGAATATTTGTATACCTTTCAGGCCCAATTGAATCTTTCTGTATTGGAGTTGTATTAATGGATATTTTAACTTTCTTTCTGAGCACCCTGAGCCACCCTTTCAAATGTCTGACCCCAGGCTCTCTCCCTATCTGTGTGTCTGTGTGGAGATCATGGAGAGCAAGCTGGGGTATGCGAAAAGATAATTCCTAATGCAAGAAATTGTAAAGGGTTAATAAAGTAATGTTAAAAAAAATGATAATAAATTGGTATGCAGCAGTACTAACAAATAGTAGCGTTCTTGTGTTTCTTTCCAAATTATTTAGAAACACTGTCCCTCCAAGTGTGGTAATCCTATGACTATTTTTACAGTGTAACATCTTGGTGTTGCTTGCTACAGTGGTGATACCCTTCTAGCCTGTAACTCTAACAGTAGATTCAGTGGCATCTGTTGCCAATCAGCTTCTCAGACTGGTAGCTAATGTAATATTGCTCTCTTTTCTAATGGAATATTCAATACAAAACAATGTGTAGCACTCTGCATATTGTACTCACTCATTGGTTTCTGATTGTTAACTATAGTGTTCTCTGCTCACTGCAGGTTCAAGATGCTCAAGCTGCAATGAGGCTTTACACTTTAGTAAAAAAGCAATGGGAAGCAGAGATCAAATCCAAGTACAAAACCAAAGACGCAGTCCAGAATGAGGACAAAGGCAAACCAAAGGCTGGAACAAATCAGAATAAATTTCACCCTGATGGCCTTTGAGCCAACATCAAAATTGTGCACTATTGCTGGTGCAAAGTTCTGTGTACAATAAAGAAGACCTATGTCTAGTTTTTCGTTAAGGAGAAAGGGAGTCTTTTGCAAGAGCTTGTCAGAAACCACATAAAGAAGAGAGTGTACATCTTTTTAAGAACGTTTGTCTTCAGGCAAGCTCCTAAAATACATATGAGACAAAAGTTACTGAAAGTGGGATTTATCTTTGTAAATCTTGAGACCATGACTGCTGAACTGCTCATCCATTTTACGTGATTTTCTGTGTTTTGGGAGAAGCATTGTGTATTTCCTCCAGAAACTTTTTCAACACCAGAAACATTTATGAGATAGATAGACTTTTATCTACCAAAAGGTTATCCAATGTGCACTTTCATTTGTGCCGCACCTGTATGTGAAAATGTCTTTCAGACAAAATGTTACATTGCTTTCGACATGTTTTTGCAATCACAGTTTTGCTCTAACATGTATTTAATTAAATTGTAGCCATGTAGTTTACACATTTAATGTGCAGTTCACACCACTTCATAGTCTTTAATTGGCATTTGTGTATATTGAGTTATTGACATGATTGTTCATTTCCTGTATTCCTGTTCTGTTAGAGCTAAAGGGGTGACAATTATTTTTTATTTACATGTAAAATGGGTACAGTTTTTCACAGTTATTTAAAAGATATACAGCTAATTGGTCCTGTTTGTAGTTCAGTAGAATTTAAAATTTTCTGATTATACTGAACATTTTTTCTGAAAATGAAGACATTTTTGATAGTTTTCAAGCAATTCATTAGAATGAGTTCAATAAGACATTTCACATTGTAGGCTATATACTCAATGACTTCAGCTTTGTCTGCCTAAATAACTTAAGTGATCTGATTTATTGGCTGAGATGTCAAAAGCTTTTGTAGTTTCCCATCTCTGCCTTAATGACAAGCAGAAGAAAACTCTTGCAGAGATGACTGTGGAAATAAATTTAGATTTTATTTCTGCCAGATGCAGATCCACCTCAGTTGTGCATTTTTGAAAGGGCAGATTGTGCAAGTAACAGTATCTCCTGTAAGGAAAATTGAATTCAGTTAATGTTAAATCATGAAGTTTAACACAGGATTAGTGCTCTTTTCTACAAACATTTTTTAGGTTTTATTTAGATCCTCATTGAATGTTTTCATTTAAAAAAATGAAACTGCCAAAATGCCTAGAGCTCAATGATTTGTGATTGACAAAAATGTTTTTAAATTATCTTTATCAAAGACGGGTATTAAAATTACTTATCAAAGAGGCTTTCTACATGCAGTAAAAATGTAATGCTTATTGAGTGATGTTTAGTGATTTATTTGATAACTAATACATTTCTGACTTGTCATCTGTGTTTTCTGTATGTGGAGACGGTTAATTTGTGTTGGTTGACTTCAGCAATATTGCCATTCAAACAGTTATGTTCATTACAGTTTATGTAATGGGAAATTGTTTTATACCTAGATTTATCTTTAAAGCAAAAACTGCAAACTCACCTTATTTGATGCAAACTTGATTTGAATCTTCTGAAGTTCCTCTTTCACATTCTCAGAAACAAACTCTGGTATCACATCATCTAAAAAATATTTTTAAATGATGGTATTGTTTTTAAAAGCTAACATTTTTCAAAATGTGTTGAATATTTTGAGATGGTTCCATAAGTGGAAATAAAGGTATCAATTATTCTTTGTTTACTCTACTTTTTTTACGCTCTTGGATCAATAAAAGTCACATCAGCATCAAATATGCATCATGTACAAAGCAAGAAGTGCTTTGCAGTTTGTGTTTTTAAAATAAGTTGTCAGAGCTCACCATACTGAACCATCTCATTGAGTAGACTGCATATGTTTTCCATCACCTCTGGATCGTCATGGTGATAAAGGCAGATCTCTTTTAGCAGCTGTACTCCACTTCCTCCACTAGGGGCCAGTAGCACTCTGAAGGCTGCCAACTCTTAAGAGAACATGCAAAGTGCACTGTGAAGAAATCTACATTTCAGAAAATGAGACGTTGCTTGTTTTTGTCCCTCCATATCCCTGGAAAATAAGGGAGTTTGTTCTAACAGCAGATGATATTGAGTCACTGAAATACTGTTTTAGCAAGTGATCCATTATCTAAAAAAACATTCAGTTATCAAAATGAGAAAAAGTTGGAGACAGTGTCTTAAACATTCATATTGTCATGGGACTATATTTCTGTTTTGAGTTTATATGAGCCTACCACAAGATCATTGGATCACCATAACAAACTGTTATGCAGGATCATTGCACTATGTTGAACAATACATCGGTTACAGTAATGTTCACACCAAAGAACCAAACTGCTTTCTAAGATGTTATGTCAATGATACTAGTACAAAAGCGAAGAAAAAGTTTTTGCTTCATGCAACAAACCTGAACTGCTCACCAGGCTGGCCAGAGCTAAGCTGGCATACTTTATTACCCCCTGTCTTTTGGTGTGGGTCCTGAGGGCATGCATCAGGGTAAGAGCAGTGTCCTCACATTCCTTTTCTCTTAAACTACCTTTCAAAAGAAAGAGTGCATACTAATAGGTAGGGATGAGCTGTAAAGCCAATGTGTATTATACAGTACAATCTCATGCTGGTTAGTCTGCCACACCTCTGAGTGTTAGGGACCAAAGAGCCGCGCACACAGATTCCATCAGCTCCCAGTCATCCAGGTGAGTTTCTCCCACAGTGATAACGGCTTCAAGGGCTCCTGCTGTTGACACATTTCCTGAAGTATGCTCTGGAAAGGGTCGGGGCAGCAGGTAAACAGAACATGCATCCATCCATTCATTTTCTAATTCGCTTTAGAACGTGCAATCAAATCTAAATGACACTTTTGCACCCAAAAGAAATGAAAAACTTGAAGTGACTGATGAAATCAAAATCTGTGATTTTCTTACACATTTCTTGCCCACAAATATCTGGACAACTGATATGCTACAGTATATTTAAGAATATAATTTCTGTTTAATAGATATCCTTTTTTTTAAATGAAAAGATTTTTAGTGCAGCCTTCTTTATAGTAACTATATTGCACTGTAAACACTTTTAAATTCCCAACTTTTCCAAAGAATTAAGCAATAAGGTTTAAAATTTAGAATGCTGTCAATTTAACCACCTTTTAATGAAGATAATGACATTTCTCTTACTGTTCACCAGTAAACCCCAGAGGGCACCACAACAGGACAAGCACACATCTCTGTTTTCAGGGAACATCTTTAATGCCCTCACAATGTCCTGGATACCCCCAGTTCCTCCAATCTTTTCTGTTGATGTCTCTGCAGAGAAACAAAACCCCTTTTACAAAGGATTCGACAATATTGACCACATAATGCAGTGTTGCTCATGTTGTTTTTGAGCAGGATTTTGTGAGGATCCAATAATTTTTCTAATTTGACTTTTGTGAACAGGAATATAAAAGTTTGCAGATCGTAGAGGTTTAAACTCAGCATTTGGATTTAGGACTCCAGGTAATTATAGGCACACGTATTGAACAGACTAAGGAGCTTTTTCACACTAATATTCACATTCTACATGTTGTACACACCTTGGGTGATGTTTGTATCACCTTTTACCTCCTAATTAGGTTTATACCCAGTGAATTTTAAAATTAAAAGTCATTATAGCCTATTTTGAACAACTTCTTTTGGTTTTATAAGAAGTGATTTGATCTTTCTTGTTTTAATATGTTCATTTTTAACAATTTTAAAAAATAAAAAATACTCATACCCAATTTTGTCCTAAGACATTTTTATTCTGAAATATATGTTTTTCTCAGCATGCACATGGATGCTCACCATTCCTTGAGAGAATAAGGACAATCTGAAAGGCTGCAGAGAGCAGCTCCTCATTGGTGGAATGGGCACGGATGGCCTGAATCACAGAACTGGTCACCTCTTCAGTGTATAGGCATGGCTCCTCCAGACTGTGCTCCAGACCTTCAGGCAGAGAACATTGCAATTACAGTGCAACTGGTGAGAGCCACAGGACCCAACCTAAGTGTCTGGTGTCCACAAAAAACCTACAGTAGAAGTGTCCTTTCATGAAGAAATTAGTGAAGATATACAGAGAGGGTGACAGAATTTTTAAAAACCGCGACTAACATCGGCACTTCTGCAGGCAGAGAAAAATGTATCCAAGCACCACCAATTAAAGAAAACAGATATGTGATATTGCATTTTTTATTCTTTTGAAAATTACAAATTGGAGACTTTGGTTTAAAATCTGCTCATAGGGGATGGTTAAACAAAAAGTGGAGTGAAACTTTCTTCACTTTGCATTGGGTTTCAAAGGTTTCTTTTCTACCTGTGATTAACAGCTGGAACAGAACCCGGCAGCCCCTGTTCTGCACCTCCACACTGTCCAGGTGGTTCCCCATGGCCGATAGAACAGTCTGCAGGGCCTGTGGGATTCTGGAAGACACTGACACACACACACACATCAGTCTGCTATGTGGACAGTTAGCAGAGGCATTCTAAACACTGACATTTAAATTAAAAATCAACTAATTTAACACTACTATATGAAGAAACAACCTTAATTTTGTTATTAGCTCGAGTAATAAGGATCTATCAATATCTATCAATTATGCTCTATTAATATTTCGTTATTATATGCATTAATTATGTATATAGCTAGATACTAGAACAGAACATAATAAAGGCGAAGTTAATATTATCAATAGCATGACTTTGCAAAATGAAATATAAAGTATAGACCTTAATTGCTTTTGAAAGCATGGAACAAGACATTTAAAAGTTTCCTTTGGTTTAACCATCTCTGGCACTGTCACTTGTTCCTGGTCTTGCTAGGGGGGTAACAAGCTCATCCATTTAAAATGTGAAAGCTTTCAGTATGTTGGCTTTTCAGCTTTTTTCTATATTAAATTATTGACAACTGTTGGACAATCGTTTCACATAAAGAATGAGCCAAAGATGTCTGTGTTTATTGTATACGGAATGAGGAAGTCAGCTGAAAAGAGAGATCTTGTTCTAAGATAAAGAGAGTGAGAATAACAAAGTTGGATCAAATGATGACAGAAACCTTCAAGTAAGAACACAAGGATTAAAAGTGAAAGACACTGTATGCTTTGTGTAACCCTCTTTCAGATTCATTTTGAAGCTGTACCAGAAACAGGAAAGATTTTTTGACATTTTCAGAGTTTTTGTCTAACAATTGATAGGTACGCACTGTCTCTCTGCACTGACAGGTATTCCAATCCTGAAAGCTGTCCCTCTTCCACATCACTGAAATTCTGCATAAATTCTGGATAGAAAATAAAAAGAAACTGTTATTGCAAATATAGTCTAGAAAAGGTGTTTAGCAGGATATGTCGCAATGTTTTGAGAAGGCAATCAAAAGGACAAAACTGGAACATTTATTGTGAAAGTAGTACTTTGCAACTCTAATCAGTAATTCCATTAATTCTGAGATCTAAAAAACCCAAAAGAAAGATGGAAGTGTGTTTTAAAAAAGTCTCATTACAGGACATTTAGGATATAGCAGGATATGTTTTGAAAAAGTCTCATTACAGGACATTTAGGATATAGCATTTGGTCTTTGTGAACCTTTATGCATAGAGAACTTACACCCTTTTGCTTCATTTATACACATTTTGTGGAATGAGGATGTTTATACCTAGAACTTTCTCAATTCCCTCTTCACTGAGTGCTCCTGTCAGGCCTGGGGGTAATTTCTTTTTTAGCCCGGACAGAGGGGAACCACACTGCACCAGACACTCCTTTACAAAAGGAGTTCTCGTGAGCTCCCTGTACAAGAGCAACAAAATCATTTTCAGTTTCTTTTTGCAGCGCTGAGTGTTCAGCACCTGACCTGGAGCGCTTTCTCTCAGCTTCCATAAGTGCTGCCTCTGAGAATGAAGTAAATGCCCTATTAGGAGAATGTTTAGACACAAAAATGAAAAGGTTTCAAAATGTACATAATATTTTCAAGATGTAAACATTTAGATGACCATTGCCATTTTTATATATTGCATCAAAACTAGGTGATGTAACTCAATTTAACTAATGTGCTTAATCTTTGATTAAATGTGGTTTAAAGACATTGGGACCAAGCCACAATAAAATTGAAATTATGTACATGTAATGTTGTATGTGTAAGACCTTACAGTCTTTTTGTGCCTTATGCTGTCTGCAGGCTGTAAGAAAGAAATACTATCATACAACATGCACTGGAAAAGGTTATATTAGAGAAACAGCTAGTCATCATAACCCTACTTGTGCATCTCATTAACTAAACACTTGACATTTCAGAATCACATTCAGGAAGTGTCACTGAAATGTTGTTTCAGAAACAAAATTGTTGCTCTTTCCTAAATATGTCTGCTCACCACACAGTGGCCCTAGTCTCTGGGTTCCTTTCTAACATCCTCCTGAGAGAATAGGACAGGTCCGGAAAGGTGATGATGTCTATTGGACTCGAATCCTGCCTGGTCTGCCGGAGAAGGGACAGGGATTCCTCTGCCTGAAGACAGGAAGGAGTCAACAGTAGATCACAAAGCAAACAAAAATGAAAGGGCAGCTTCCTCTCTGTGGTACTGCTGACTAAGAAAAGCAAATGGAAATCAAGCTAAAAGAACTGCAGTTTTTAACTAGGGACGTATAACATGACAGGAAACAACCGTTTTTCACAATTACATTTGTGTTGGATACTTAGAAGGAAATGCAAACTTTAATTAAATTAATACATTGTGGTGCAAGCTTATTGGGGTGGATTCTCAACAGATGTGACAGTATTTCTGATAGAAATGAATCATGCTGAGTCCAGTTCTTCTGGGCTCTAGGCTCCGTGTTCTCTGCAGAGGTAAGATTAAATTCAAGCACTTTTTTCATCCGTCAATCTCCTTTCATTAAAATTGCACTGGTATTATGTGTATACAAACAGTTATAACATTAAATTGAAAGGAACAATCTTGATCTACGTTAAAGGTGGGGAGGGCACTAAACACATACATCCAGCAAGTGACAAGACAGCATTTCCAGCAGGATGCATCCCAGGGACCAGACATCAGACTTCTCACTCCACAATCGCTGTGCTAATGTTTCTGGTGCCATCCAAGACTTTCCATCTATCAGCAGAAGGAATGCAAATGTGAAGTCTTTTGATGGCTGTTTTATTATTACACAACTTCATTTTGAAAATGCCCAAGTAATTTATCTGTCAGATATATGGAATATCACATACTTTCTTTGATTCTTTTCTCCAGCTTCAGTTCATCTCCAGTCACAGTTGGAATACCAAAATCAAAGAGCATGAAGGTCAAGTCCTTTGTCATCAGGATGTTAGAAGGCTTGAGGTTTCTTTAAATGGAGGATCATGGATTTAAGTTTGTATATACTCTTTTAGTGTGCATTCTGATTTCTTTCAAATCACTTACTAAATACAGCTGTGATCTTAAAAGGACATTTTTCCATAACTGAGACTTGGTTTACATTTTCCAAACCACATCTGTAGTGAAGAGATGTTTTAAATTGTATTTGTTTGTAAAAAACACATAATGTTTTTATAAAAACTTTCTATGACCACAGTCTTCACAGCTCCACTTGTTTACTAAATTGAAATATTAAGGTGTCCATGACTATCAAATAACAAACTTAACTTTTTCATTTAAAAATAAAAAATGGAGAGTGAAGAATTTTTGCTGTAGATAATTCAGTGCTGTCCAATGTCTTAAGAAAACAAGAAAAAAAACTAATACTATACAACCTATGAAACTGAATACTACTGAAGGTCATTTAAGAGTCCAGTAAACACAGGCCATATTTTAGTTTACAGAAATGTTTGCACACACTATGGGCACAAACAGCTGGCAAAATATCTTTAGAACAACATTTACTATATATATACTTACTCATCACTTAAGGGTAATTGTGTTGTGGTAATTTTGAATTTATTCAGACCACAAGTGAAAAGGCTGCCTAGTGATGAAATTCCAAATATGAGTCCAGCTTAAACACACCCAACTATGCCACTACTGACCTGTGAATAATGTTCTGTTTGTGCAGATAGGCTAAAGCATCTACCGTGTGTCCCAGCATCCTCCTGATCACCTGCAGAAAATAAAATGAATTTCACTGACAGTGAAACACACACAAAGAGACTGCAAAGGTATGAAGACAATCTCCAAGATGCTAGGGATGCAGGCAGCCTTTAGGATTTACAAGGCACAAAACTTTGCTACATTGTGAGGTCCTTTGACATTAGTAAGCACTTACAGTACATACATATTTTTCAACAATGTTTGATTGCATAGCTATGTATAAAACGTCAGGGAAGCCAAAACAGTTGTTACCAACTACTTCTGTACAGATTTTATGCTGGTGTTCTTAGAATGACCTTTTCCTTGAACACCTCTCCTTTTTCCCTTTGGATTCTGATAGCTGAAGACAAACTCCTCAAGTACGAGCATTCCATGACCAGACACAGCATCACGGAGGAAATCTGAAAACAATTGGAAAAGCATTCAGTAGCACCACATGTGCACCAACAGCTGAAGTATTTTCTTCATTCTGTTTCTCTGTGAAGGAAAATCCTGCTTGTGCCCAATTAAGAGAGTGGTGGTAGTTGCTGCGTCACTGACCCAGGCTGAATGAGGGAAGTACTCCTCACATTTTACCTAATATATTAATGATCATTTCCAAATCCAGAAACCTGAGTCTCTTTATTTAATTCTCTTTAGGACATGTTGGGACTTAAAAGTCCTGGCAGTAAATGAAGTCTGAATTTGGTCTTAAATGAGGAGGATGGGATGGTTTTTAATGAAATATGAATAAACTGCAGACCAGAATTTGTCTCCCAAAACGTCAGATGTGAATAATAGCTGACAATATACAGTACAAGCACTTCTTATTTTTCGTACACTAAAACAAACATTCAGGCTGTACAGAGTTAAATAAAACAACTAAAGCGGTTATTACCTTTCTGTCCCAGGTTATGAAAAGTTCTTTGTATCTGATGACATTGGAATGCTGTAGCTCCAGAAGCCACAGAGCCTGAAAAATCACAAACCACAATAAGGGAGAAGTGTTCATATCCAAAACAACATTAATGAAGTAATCTGACCTGTTCAAATTATGCTTAGAAAAGAGGTCTACTGCTTTGTCTTTCAGTGATTTCAATCTAAAATGTTTTGAATATTTATTAATAGTATTATAAACAAACTTACTTAAACTTAAGACACTTATCAAACCAAATGTATTCTAAATGTATTAGAGGTTTATCAATGCAGAGATTATTTCAGTTTACATACAGTTAAATTGACTAAGAGGACATGACTCCACCTGTATGGTATCTAGTTCATCACAAGGTGACCCCCAACAATCCTGGGAACTGAAGATTGATTGCAGTTAAGTACATGTGTTTGGCCTTCATCTTCAGTGGTTCAGCTCAACATGGGAATTGGGAAACATTTGTCCTACATCTAAAGGATTGCTGGTTTGAAACCTCAGCTGAACTCAGCTCGTGAGTGTGGTTGAGGTTGCGCTAGCAGTGTAGCATCAGCTAGCTTCAGGCTGGGTGTACTTCATGCAAAATGCAATAAAAGCAGTAAAAAAGCACAGGCATCCACATGTTACATCACCACTGTTAGTAACAGTGAAACTCAAGAGTTTTGCATCACTTCATTATTGCACATCAGTGGCTTAAGTGAGGCCATGGGTTTGTTTCAGTGGCGCCTCAAAACAAAGAAATATTACTGTTCTGATTTTACTCACTGACCTCCTTTAGTGCTTGGTTTGCTCGCTCCTCATCAAGACATTCAACCTGGAAAGACGGGTTACAACAGAATTATTAATTTAAAAATTAGATTCCCTATGCACCCCCCCCCCCTTCTCTCTGAATTAGGCAATTAGGTATTAATTATTAATAATTGGTAATTAGGCATGTCAACTATAACTGGTTCTAAATGAAATACAGTACTGTTGATGTCATCATACACCTTTCCAGTTCTGTGTGTAAGCAATGAAGATGAATGTAATAAAGATACATACAAGCATCTCTTTAGAAACTGGAAAAAATATTCGGGCGTCACTAATGTGATTTTTGAATTTAGTTAGCTTGGTTGATGTTATGCCTTTGGCTAATACAGAGCCTTATCTGATGTGCAGTGTTGTTGGGAAGCGCATACCCTCTTCAAGGTGAAATCCTGCTCGCTCCTTCTGTCGCGCACAAACTGCACAGCTCCGTAAGACCCCGGCTCCATTACATTTAAAATCTATTCAGTTTTCGTGGGGGAAAAAAGACAAAGGCACTATTAAATTCAAGATAAGTGAATTAGGTTACGGAAAGCGAGTTCCACATCTTTTAAGTAACAGAAGAAGAATAAAAAGCATCTAATCAAGATTTGTTAAGTACTTTTCTAATTGCTCATTTAACTAATTAGACTTGTGATGTCCAACGATAAAAAATATCAGACGTTATATCAGATACAAATTATAACAGTGCTTCAGTGCTTTGTTGATCTTTTCACAGGCTGCCTTTAGCTTCGTAATATTACTTTTCTGTATTTTCAGAAATTACGGCGGTTACAATGAGTAGGAAGCCTTCGCCTGTATTAATCCATAGGTCGACGCGAACTGCGGTTACGTTACGTAGTTCTTCATAAAGCTGAAAATTAGAATTTTACCACGTATTTCTCCATGTTGCAGTATTACAGTACTTGCTAAGTGCACAGAAATCTGGCACTGTTGTGTTTCTATCATTGCCTGGAAACCAAACGAAAACTGCAGGTCTCAAAAATTACCTTTTGCGCATGCTCTGTGCATCCGTACAAATTACAACAGGCATTGTTTCTCTCCCGCTGCACTTAAATTGATATTACAATACAAATGAACAAGTAATAGGTTAATTCCATGCTGAAAAAAAGAAGAAAGAGAACACAACGTTTCGGCCGTGGAGCCTTCTTCAGGTGTCAACCTGACACCTTACAATACAAATGTTGTTCAAGACTAGATAAGTTAAATAATTGTTGAAATAATATATTACTGTAATTTATATAATGTATTAATACATTTTACAACTGTTCATTATCTTGAAAATGCGGATAAAACAAAATAATTGTATTGCAATTGTATTGTAGAAATGTGTATTATGTAATTGCTTTTTAGGCAACTTTCAATTTTCCGCACATTTACCTACAATTGAGATTTTGGAGGAAAAACATTTTTTGATGGTAGGTACTTAGTAACACAAATGCAAATGTAAATCAAAGTCTTTTCATTACAATTAACCTAATCACTTGCTGCATGTCAGTTTACGACTTTTTAAGGAGAAATTACCAGTGAGATGAGAGTTAATAGCAGTTTTCAGAGGTTGGCAACATATGGAGCGGCTAGTGAAGACGTGCTCTGGCCCTAAATATGAATATGAAGGGAAAACGTTTTTCATGCTCTACATCAGTGTTAAACTGTGTGCTTAAAAGACTCACCTATGAACACACTGTATAAATGGAATGTTGCATGAGCTTGTTTCGGTGAGTAATATACTTTCACATGCAATGCACGCATTTTAATCTTAATTATTTCCCTCCTGTCAAATAAACGTAAGTATTCAAAAACAAAAAACATGAAGTTCAAGCCCTGTCAAACAATTAAGACAGATGTAAAACCGAAGCTGTGAATCCTGAAAACAGAAACAACTATTACTCAACTACTACTGAAATAGGAAAGTGAGGTTTTATGATGCACACGAGGTCTGGGTGATTACTAATCATCTCAGGACATTTTGGATAAAAGTCCCTTTTAAGCAATTTAGAATGAAATATAACCACAGTGCACTAACCTCCTTTGCTAAGTAAACTATATTTTAATAGTCTAAACCTTGTATATGTCAAAGAGAGAAAAAGATGGGTGTGGGAAAACAGGTGTAAGTGACTATGTTGTCTTTAAGTTTGCACTGAATGCCAAGTATTTCCCTAAGGGTTGATGTGTTTCTCGTGTTGTTTTTTGAGCTGCCTAACAATGATCAAAGGTTCTCCTAGCTTAGACAGTTATTAATCATCACACAATTCAAAGGTGATGTGGACTTGTGAGAGACAATATGTCAGACTGTGAAGTACAGAGCACCCAGAGTCAGAAGAAACTGGAGGAAACGCCGTTTGCATCACAGCACCTAGGAGAGGACCCAGACACCAGGGAAACAACAGAAGGAAAGCCCCAGGTTCGTCTCCCACCCACCCCACCATCTAAAAACTGGACTTGGAGACAAACAGGGTGTGGAGGTGGGGGGGAGCATGAGGGACCACATTGTAAAGGACAGACAGATGATCTCGTACTACACACGGTTTCATCCCTTCATTTGGTGTGACAGAAGGGGGCACACCAGGTCACTGACCAGAACTTGTTTCAGAGAATATTGCTTCTGGACATTTCCTTTGGGACATTTTTTGTGGTAACTGGGGTCCATGGGTTTCTTATACTCTTCTGTAAGTTTCTAGTAGATAAATTGTGTTATGTAGTCTGTGTGTTGGGTGGGCAGTTACAGAGATTGTTGTGTTATGGGGATACTTTTTTGTGATGGGTAGATAGATAAACTGTAATAAAATGGGATATTATGTAGAACAACTGTTTAGCCTGGTCATTGGGTGCACATGTGGTTCTGGGTTAATGAAAATAACCAGTTGCGATTCAAAATGGTCCTAACACCCTTATAATTACTAGGTGGTGTAGTTGCCTACAAAAGTAATTCTTCCTAGTTCTTACTTTTGCCTCTTTTCAAAATCGTTGTATTTTGTGATGGCATCCTTTCACTTGATTTATCCCTTAGATACAGAATAATAATAAATATTCATTAAAATAACTTGTCTTTATATGTCTCTACACATGCAAAGGAAAATGCCATTTGAATCTTAACGAAGTCAAACCAAGACACAGTGAACAACTTCTGTTTTTCTTTCAAATGTCATTTGAGAAATGATGCAGTGGCAAAAAATTAGCACCTTGGCACAGACATGGTATCAGTCGTGTTTGTTTCTCAGATGTGTCTTTTCCAAAATTCTAAATATTGTATTTTTTTAATTCACCTGTTTTGCAAGGTGAGTAAAGCGACTAGTTCCGCTTGTTGGTTTTTTATGGGTTTTTTTCTAATTCAATAAACTTCAGAATCCTCAACAGTACTTTCTTAGCTTTATCTGAGGTGCAATCTGCATCCTTGAACATGGGAAGATAAAGCACAAAGGAAAAGCTTTATGACCTAAACCAGGTGTGAGCACTTAATTTCTCTTCTACTTATGCAGTACAAATGTCAACAACTTCATACCTAGTTTCACCTGACATTTTTGTGCCAATGTGCATTTCTGAGGTTTGGCACTTTGTCAAATTCTACTTTACTTTTTGTTTCAGAATTATGCCTCAGATATCCAGATGCTGAGTGGTGTGATTGCATGCCTGGGTGTTTCCCAATTTACTTTTCCTCCCAGCCTGGAAGTGAAAGCTTCTTTGTGTTTGTGAAAAAAAAAAGCTGTGTATGAGACCAGTGCATTCTAATGATCAGGGATAGCTGCACATGCTCAACGGGATTTGTTTTCAACTTTTAACCAAGTCATGATAAAGTTTTGGTATGGGTGCCTTCAGGACCCCAGGATGGCCAAGGTGTTAGCCAGATCTGTTAGGGTTTTTGAGAGGATGTTCTGTCTGTCATGGTAAACCATTTGTCCAAAGAGGGTGTTATTGTTACACAGGAGTCAGTTACAGCTCATGATACATACAGTATGTATTGAAAGTCAGGCTAACCAAGCACCATACACAAACACCTTTCTGATCTGCATAGGAGCATCCCATTAATTCAATTTTCCCATGCTCCTTCCAACAGGTTCCTTACTCAGCTCTAACTTTGTAATGCTCTGTAAGCAGTGTGGCATAAGACCAGGGTCATTTTGATAAAACAGTGTGTTGATTAACAGCTTTCATCAATTGCATACCACATGTCCTGGAGACATGCCACCTCAAGCTCTTTTAGTGAATAAATTGTATGAGTGTGTGCCATGTTTACTCAGGACCTTGGAATGGGCTTTGACATGGAACTTGAAACACGTGAGATAAAGAAAGGGAGACAGATGATGCTAAATTAAATTGCATTCCATTCCATACTAACATCTAGGCACTGTAGAGTCCCTAGAAAGCAGGTCTTATTAGAACCGAAGAATACGTTCTTCCCAGTCATTTGAAACACAAACTGTCGAAGAGTCTCTGGGCAGAATAAAATGAGGTACCTGTGTCATATAAACTCTATATGAAAAGATATAAGAAAATGCCCAGATATGTGTTGAACAGAAGGATGAATTGGGGAGTAAAGGCACGCCAACGTGTGTTTTAGAACTTGATCACTCAATCTGTAGGCACATCTGAAACACCAGCGCTTCCTCTGTCAGTCTGCCAGTCGTATCGCAGCACAAATAGGTCCGTGTTACATGAACAAAACAGGTGTCCATTGTATTCTGCCAATTCTCTAAACTAGGTCTACAGGTAAGTGCGCTGCTTTGCTATTTTAGTTAATAAAAACAGTTAATAAATAAGCAGTTGGAGTAAATTCCTGTTCCCTTTGTAACCCGTGGTTTAGTTCACAATGTGTACGTAGTGTAAAACTCCGGGATGTCGAGAGATTGAAGACGAGGCTGGAATACTTTCAGTTCTTAGCAGACCTGCCGTTAATAAGTGACCTCATCCTTCAGGGAAGTCCCCCGTGTGTGCCGTACTGTATATTAGTGTGCTGGCCTGTACTGCTGCCAGTACAGGCCAGCACAGAACTGTTTTGTGTTCATATAGAACAGGGTCCAACCAACATCCCTGGCGAGAAAAACTGATAAAGGAATGACTGACGAAAGGACGCCTCTGATTACAAATGGCAACACCGTAATATACACCAGGTAAGATAAGAATAGTATCCAGAAGAGCAATTAATGCATGTGATTGAAATATATATATATATTGAGTCGAGTTTGTCTTTATATACATTTTAATACGCCTGCTCTGTACTACAGTTTATGATTTTTAATAAACGTTTAGGAACTTGAATTGTTACATTCACAACACGGTTGTTTAATTTGTTCTGTTTTAAGGAATGTACAGTAAACATTCGAGGCGCAGGTATATGTTTTAACAAGGCATACTGTATAAGGTTTAACGTTACATTAGATTTTCTGGATCGAAACAATCCGGCGCTTCTGGAACAAAAATACGGACACAATCCCCCAGAAAACATTAATGTTGCAGTGACATGAGAGAAAAAAAATAGTTGCCCTCTCCAACTGTGCATATTACGCACCAGACTGTGAGTACGGAGAGTTCCGTACGTTTTTCGATTGGTATTAAGCCTATCCTACTCCTTTGGTATTAAAAACGGTTACCTTGTCGAGTTGAGACTGAAGAAAAATAAGAATGATCTGATATCGTAATTTATTGGAGACGCGGAGAACAGTAAAGTAATTTAATGATTGGCTTGTCGATGTTTTCTTTTCTAAGGCATTTTATACATAAAACAGTATGTAAGGACATTGTTAATTCGAATGAAGTTTCCTTTTTTATACTTTTGGGTAGAAAACCTGTTAAGGTTCCCTTTTCCACTGATGGAAGACTTGCGAAGTTACGAGATTTTGCAACCTTTCCAAGCAGTTGCAATCAGTTTCCCACATGTCATTTTGCAATCCATATTCTTCGATGGTGACATTTGACTTTTGTTTTGAAAGTGCATTTTGCATTTTTTTAAACAAATATTTTATTGTTGAAAAAACTGAACTAATCACTGCAATCGTGGTATTTTCAAATAATATATATATTCAAATAATAAATCAGTTTTAATGACTTTTCACTTTTCTGCAATGTAATACAACCAAAATTTGAACATAGTGCCATAGGCCTGCAATTTTATTGTTCATGTGCCAGGTTTCATTTATGTGGCTTTGTCACGTAAGATGCTACAGGTAATGCAACAGAAAGAGGAAAAGAGTGTAGCTTCAGTTTTTATTTCCACAGCAACAAGAGATTGTTTCTCGCTGTTTTCGCGGCTGTTTTGGGGAACTTCAATTCTGGATTCTCCCTGGTTTACGCCTCTTCTGCTATTCCACAACTGACAACCATCGACAACCCCAACCTGAGAATGAACACTCTCATAGCCTCCTGGTTTGGGGTAAATATTTTTTATTATTAACCCAATACAGCAATCATTATAGAAGGCAACTAGCATATAAAACACCTTCATTAGCATGAAAGACAGCACAAACAAGGGTAACAGGACTAATTTATTGTGTTTTTAATGCCTTTCAGCATTTATTCTGAATCTTCATATGGAGGAGTCATAGTGTTACAAGTTTAATTAATGGATTATTGGCAATAAATGGCCTGCAAAAAAAAAACTGGATAATGTTTTTAATTATTTAACAAAAGCCAAATAATTAGACCGTTTGGGCTCCTCTGGAACCGTAAGACCATGTGTTTCTGGTCCAACCGGACAATCGACATGTCCCACTGCTACAGGAGTATCTGTAGATAATAATAATTAATAATTGCTTACACTTATATAGCACTTTTCTGGACACTCCACTCAAAGGGCTTTTACAGGTAATGGGGACTCCCCTCCACCACCACCAATGTGCAGCATCCATCTGGATGATCTGACGGCAGCCATAGTGCACCAGAACGCTCACCACACATCAGCTATTAGTGGGGAGGAGAGCAGAGTAATGAAGCCAATTCATAGAGGGGGATTATTAGGAGGCCATGATTGATAAAGGCCAATGGGAAATGTCCCTGGGGTTAACACCCCTACTCTTTTCAAGAAAGACCCCGGGATTTGTAATGACCACAGAGAGTCAGGATCTCGGTTTTACATCTCATCCGAAGGACGGCACCTGTTTACAGTATAGTGTCCCCGTCACTATACTGGGGCATTAGGACTGCAGGGTGAGCGCCCCCTGCTGGCCCCACTAACACCTCTTCCAATAGCAACCTTAGTTTTTCCCAGGAGGTCTCCCATCCAGGTACTGACCAGGCTTACACCTGCTTAGCTTCAGTGGGTTGCCAGTTGTGAGTTGCAGGGTGCTATGGCAGGGGTTATAGACTCCTGTTCTTGTCATCAGAAGTGTGCATTGCTCATGTGGTTCTCCTTACTCTCTCTGCACAGTCTATGTTCACACTGGGAGCTGCGGCAGGGGGCATCAGTGCCATGGTGCTTAATGACAATATAGGGCGGAAGCTGAGCATCATGGTCTCGGCTGTCCCCTCCGCCGTGGGCTACCTCTTGATGGGCAGTGCCCAGGCTGTGTGGATGCTCCTCCTGGGTCGCTTCCTCACAGGATTTGCTGGAGGAATGACAGCAGCTTCCATACCAGTAAGTTACAGCCTGAAAAACATTCACCCTATTGCTCTTAGAGAGAGATCACCTTTCCTAGTGAAGTTTTTCATAAAGTTTACACAAACAAACCCTGTTTTTCATTTGCTGTCTTCAATTAATAACAGTGTTTGTCTGTGCAGCTTAGTTTACATGTAATTGACCGCAACCAGATTGCTGACAGTAGGTTTTCTTTTAAGAAATAAAAAATGCCAAGATGCCAGATTTTTAAAAATGAAATGTCTTTCAGGTGTACGTGTCTGAGATTTCTCACCCCAAAGTGCGCGGCACATTAGGATCTTGTCCCCAGATAACAGCTGTGTTTGGAGCCCTTGCCCTCTATGCTCTTGGTAAGAATGATCAGAAAGGTTTGGTCCTACTGCAACCTGTTCATTTGACTCTTATTTTACGTTAGGTGAAAAGGAAATCTAGCAAGAGGGATGAGAGCTCAAATTGTTGTAGTGACAAATCTTTATGCTGTGCAAAATCAAGCCACATGTTAATTTCTGCACAAGGCACAAGTACTCAGTTTAGGGCTATACAGAAAAAAACACTGGTCCTTGTGACAGAGTGCTTGTTATTTTTTCTTTCTTTCTGAATGTGAAATACTCCAGTACTTCCCCCTACCCTTCTGGTATGTTTGAGAGAGTGTATGTGATACGAATGGAGTGTGAATGATACTTACCCTTTTGTTGTTTCCCAAAAATCACTGCAGTGGTTTTTTTGGAGTATTGTTTTGAGTTGATCAAGATGGCCACCAGTCACCTTTCCTGTTTGTAGTATCATACAAATGATCTTAAAGGAAAAGGTTACTGGTGAGCCATCTATAAATAACCGATGTAAGGTTAGTTGTTTTCTTTAAGTGAATATATCACAGCTGCATGACTCTGTTAAAATTTCTAAGTTATTTTGGGATGGTTTAATACTTTATTTTGATCAATTTGCCCATCTCTGTTAACAAAAATGTGAGCGAGTCCCTTGAAGAGGATGGTCCTATAAAAGGGACTGGGGGAGCTCAGTATGAAGGAGGGTGCCTTGGAGGAAAGGTGTGGAGAGTACTCCTGTGAGGGTTTTTTTTTGTTATCCCAATATTTTGGCAATAAATCCAGTTTTGTTTGCATTTGAAGACTGCTTGTGGGAGTTTCGTTTCTTTTGAGCCAAGCCTGGTCACTTGGCCGGTGACAGTCCTTTGATTTGCAATTAAGATGTTGGCCTTCTGACATTCATGTCTTCATTTAGCTATACCCTAGCTGCCTTGTCAGTATGCTGTAGCTGGTTCATATTAGTGAGAGAAGAAAATCATCATGAAAGCATCTGTTTCCCTACAAAGCCGTTAACTTCACTGTGGCCCTCCTGTGTGTTCCATTGGCAGGGCTGGTGTTGCCCTGGCGCTGGCTGGCTGTTGCAGGGGAGGTGCCCACCCTGATCATGCTGATCCTCCTGTGCTTCATGCCCGACTCTCCTCGATATCTGATTGCTAAGGGCAGGTCGGACCAGGCTCTCAAGTCGCTGGAATGGCTGCGGGGCTCTGGGTCTGACTACATGACGGAATACTACCAGATCGAGGAAAGTGTCAGCCTGCAGGTACTGAAAGATGCTGATTGTCCTGACAGGGAGCTGGTCCGTCAGTTCTGATAATTTCTGGTCAAATATAATACATGTTTATTGTGCATAACAGGTTAGGAGCATCTGGTACAGTTCAATAACTCTATTTCCCTTCTCTCCTTTCTCTCAAACAAAATGTGACAAGCACATCACTTACAATGTCTTACAGATTTCCAGTAGAAAACAAGAGAACTGCAACAAGCATAGCTCGTTTTCAAGATACATTCTGTATGTGGTTTGGGATACAGACTGGATAGGCTAGGGAAAAGTATCGCATCACATTACATCATGACATGCATACAACAAAACTGTATTGTATCGTGGTTTGAAGATTATCACCCAGTCATTAGGTCACTAGTGTCCGGGTTTTGAAATTTGAACTTTCCTGCAGGCAAGAATCACCTGGGCAGAGCTGGGCACACCTTTCTACTACAAACCTATTCTGATCTCTGTGGTGATGAGGTTTCTACAGCAGATGACAGGCATCACTCCAATCCTGGTCTACCTAGAACCCATATTCAACATGAGCAAAGTCATTCTGGTGAGAGACTTGGAACAATGCATTCTCTACTGGAGACAGCAGCTGCAGTGGTGCCTAGAAAAAGTTACACTTAGAGCAATCCTGAAGCAACATTTTTTGAAATATTTGTCATTCTTCTGGTATCACAATATGCATTTTTCCATTTGCGTGAGGTTGTACATAGTTGTATATAACAGTTTCAAAAGTCCAACATAAAACATACTGGAATAAATCAGTGATGATAGAATACAATCACAGTTTACTTACAAAAATCAGTTTTCTCATTGTTTGGGAATTGTTTTGATTCAGACAGGTCTTTTATCCAGTTATGTAAGGGCTTTATAATAAAAATCGTCATACCTCTGAAGAGGGATAAATCCTACTGTTTTTTCCAGCCAGGGCAATATGATGCAACTATTGTGGGAGCTGTACGCTTGGTGTCAGTGCTGATTGCTGCTAGTCTGATGGACAAGGCAGGCCGGAGAATTCTGCTCTTCACATCAGGTAATGTGAGGCACTGCTGTCTATAGAGAATTCTCATTTCTCTTCCACTAACCACTTACCTCAAAGACCTCTACTCATCAAAGTGCATTGACTGTACTCAGTGAACATTTTTAAGTTTATTACACTAGAAATGTAAGCATGTTTATGACCTTTTTACGACATTTTGTATGTCTCCCTACCAATGTGTAAACCTCACCTAGATAATGCGACAGCAGCCAAAGTGCACCAGTACGCTCACCACACATCAGCTCTCAGTGGGGAGGAGAACAGAGTGATGAAGTCAGTTCAGAGATGGGGATTATTTGGAGGCCATGATTGGTAAAAGCCAGGGGAAAATGTTTCTGGGGTTAACACCCTTACTCTTTTTGAGAAACATCCTGGAATTTTTAATGACTACAGAGAGTCAGGACCTCGGTTTTACTCTCAATCTGAAGGAACACAATTACCAGCAGCCATATCACCCTGCAACTCACAACTGGCAACCCACTGAAGCTAAGCAGGTGTGAGCCTGGTCAGTACCTGGATGGGAGACCTCCTGGGAAAAACTAAGGTTGCTGCTGGAAGAGGTGTTAGTGGGGCCAGCAGGGGGCGCTCACCCTGCGGCTCATGTGGGTCCTAATGCCCCAGTGTAGTGACGGGGACACTATACTGTAAACAGGTGCCGTCCTTCGGATGAGACGTAAAACCGAGGTCCTGACTCTCTGTGATCATTAAAAATCCCAGGGTGTTTCTCGAAAAGAGTAAGGGTGTAACCCTGGCATCCTGGCCAAATTTCCCCATCGGCTGTTATCAATCATGGCCTCCTAACAATCCCCCTCTGTGAATTGGCTTCATTACTCTGCTCTCCTCCCCACTGATAGCTGATGTGTGGTGAGCGTTCTGGCGCACTATGGCTGCTGTTGCATCATCCAGGTGGATGCTGCACATTGGTGGTGGTGGAGGGGAGTCCCCATTACCTGTAAAGCGCTTTGAGTGGAGTGTCCAGAAAAAGCGCTATATAAGTGTAAGCAATTATTATTATTATTAACACTGAACTGGAGCATTAGGACCCACACAGACTGCAGGGTGAGCGCCCCCTACTGGTTCTCTTCCTCTTTCAGCAGCAAACTTAGGTGTGGAATCATACACTGTTAAACTTGTTTCTAATTTCAGAAGGTATAAACCAATGAAAAAGAACAGTGAAAAGACAAAATAGAGTGCTGTAGAGAGGTTTTTGTTAATATGTTTGTTCATCAGGTTTAGGTTACAATGCAAGACCAGATATAATATAACAACATTTCCCAAAAGATCACCTCAAACAGAGACACACTGGACCAATTAAAAAAACCCAACAAAATATAATAATTTAATAAAACATAGTAGTTCATAAAATCTATACAAATTTCCACAGAGTTCTGGGCAGTAGCCCCTCAGTCACCTATTCAAGGTGTTATCATTAATGAGAGAAGATGACTTAGGATCTTAATGTTGAGGTGAAATGTTTTTCTGTTTAATTGGAGGTTAAGAGACCACAGTTTGGGAACACCTAACCTTTAACTACATTACCCACAAGAAAGATATCCACTTGCTTCATGACTTATATGAAACAAAACCGCAAGTACATACAGTATGTGGAAAAGAGGAAGCACATTCAGGACTGAAAACACAAGGCATGTCTTAAACAAAGTGTTAGTGGGATCTGAAATAAACACATCCATGCTGTTCATGTTGTCACCTGGGTATCTTCGAGGAATGGCTGAGTAAGATTCCTGCTTCTGTTAGCTTCTAGCTATCAAATGAGAAAGATTGACCAAAAAGCCTTCTTTGTAATCTTTCTCATGCTAATATTCTCATCTTCTTGTCAATAGCTTTTGTATTTGTGATCTTCCCCCTCTTGTTCAGGATTCCTGATGTTCCTCTCCATGCTGGTCCTGTGCCTGTACACTCTATACACGTCCTGCCCAGCCCACAACGTTAACCTCACTGCCATCCCCTCTGGACTCATCGTTGCCCAAGAGCCCGGGAGTCCCCTCCAGATGGCCTCCCCCAATCTCGTCACTCTCATCCCACTCATCGGCACCATGGTCATCATATTCGGTAAAGCTTTTATTCATTAAAACAAACGATGACAATGATGATTAGAATTTGTTGATCATGCTGGTGGTATCATTTAGAAAATGGTGGGGCAAAGACTGATCCTAAATCCAATATTGATCATTAGATAATCTAACCATGCTTTTAAAATATTCAAATAATAGATTGTAGAACAGTAAATTTGCAGGCCTTTGTCAGGCTTATTCCATTAATGTTGAGTGCAGCATCTCTGAGGCAAATATGCTACAGCCTTATCATCTGTGTCATTAAAGGCAAAGTCATCTTGCTTTAAAAAAGCCAACACCTACAGAGACCCAGATTCAGCAGATCTTGTAACCCCATTTTTTAAAGAATTGTATACTAGATGTCAGGATAAGTGTCTTCTTCCTGAAAACATGTTCTGCAGTGGCCGGTGTCAGTGTTAGCATTGTGTGGTTCAGCCTGAAGCATTTGGAAGGTGATTACCTGTTGATTTCCGATCCTCCAGGCTACGCCATGGGCTGGGGTCCCATTACATGGCTGCTGATGTCTGAAATCCTGCCACTGGGGGCTCGAGGGGTGGCATCTGGCCTGTGTGTGGGAGTCAGCTGGATCACGGCTTTTGTCCTGACACAGGTCTTCATGACAGTTGTGGTGAGTTTATCTGTCCCTTCTGTGCCAGGCAACTCTCATAAGTGATGTGATGAGCTTGAAGCTGAACTGACAAAACACTTCTGGTTTTAAGGCACATAAGATCGGATTAAGTAACATTTATTTATGGGCTTCTTGATGTAGAACCTTATGCAAATGTAATCTATGAAGGAGAGCTCTGCCTTCAACACATTAATGAGCATGCCAGGCTCTATGGTGTCTGCTTTGAGCACTAAAAAATAAAGGCGGTCATAAAATAGTCCAATGCATTTTTGTTCTAAAGAGTCTTGTGTGCCAAAAGCATTCAAAATTAAAATAAAATAATTGTCTGTCATATATACTGTATTAGAATTTGCTTGTTGAATATTGTGCAGATCTGAGAAGGATTTAATAACAATAAAGGAATTACATGATCTACCTGTTTTTATGTTCTACAGGAAACCTACGGCCTGTTTGCTCCCTTTGCATTCTTCTGTGTGATAAGTGTGATCAACCTTATTTTCACCGGAGCAGCTGTCCCTGAGACCAGAGGACGCTCCCTTGAAGAGATAGAGAACTATTTCCGGACTGGACGCACATTAAGCATCAACCGCAGATGATGCTAAGACTTTGGGACTTTCTGTGGCTTACTGCCAAAAATACAATTTGCTGCTCAGTAATGTAGGAGAAATCTCCTTTTGTGACCACTCAATGCAGGTGGAGCAACATCACAGTCTAAATCTGTACAGTGCCAATGAGGTTTTGTTGTTGCATCTCTCTATACCTCAAACATCGCAAAGATAAACTTTTAAGATGGCAATGCACTTTGTTTCAGGACTCTACGCATCAGATGGGAAACAGTTTGAAAAATGTCTTTTTTACAAAGAGATTTACTCAATGAATTTAATAAGTCATGCACAATTACAAATCACATGCTGTTGTGTCTTGAAAATTAGAAAACAAAAACAAGCCAGAGCAGTGTTATACAATATATATAGGGATTGGGAGATATATTTGGGCATCTGAAGATTGTAACATTACATGCAAGCTAGTCTTAAAACTTCCTAAAAATTACTGTAAATCCAGAGTGTAGTTCTGTGATAATGACAAATGTTCACCAGGACCTGTAACTCTGTTACAATACAGTTCAGAGTTTTGGAAACAACAAGTACAAAGAGGATGGAGGCAGAAAAAATATTTTTGTCTTATTATTCTTAAATAAAAATCACAGGTGGCTACCACATTCACACTGCAGGTAACAAATGAGGACTGGTACAGTAGATAGGCTCTTCCAACATGCCCACCTGTTCAACATCTGTTACAGGCTCCATGTGAGAAATAATGCGATTGAATAAGTCTATTGCCAAAAAAAACACATATAGGTATTTTTATAAATACAATATATTTTACAATAGATGCCTGACAGATCACAAAAATTGTGTCTTGAGTTTCACCAGCTGCACTGACAACCCTGGCTAATGGCATCCACCAGCTGAAGTGTACACTGCCACTTGAGATATCCCAGTAAAAGTTGGACAGTCACACCACTAGGGTCTTTGGAACACCAATATTTTTCATTTTGTCACAGTAATCCCCTAATATCTTTTTTATCTTTTAACAAGTTAAATAATATTAACCTTTCCTCCAATTTCCCTATACATGGAATTTCCAAAGTTTAAAACAGTGCTGTACACTGTATCTTAGTAATTACAATATTTCCACTTGGTCATATGTAGATTACACTATTATACATGTATATGATATACTGTATACTATATTGAGCTATAGGTGTGTAGGTTTCAAGGTGTCATTTATACTAAAAAAGAATGAGATCTATATATAAAAAGGGATGGTATAACCTTTTAAGTCTATAAAGTCTGGTATATTTTCAATTATATAATAATGTCTTGATGATGACCTTTCCATTAATGTTATTCAAATTAAAATAATAGTTTCCTTCACCGCCTGAAATAATTCCTAGTCAGTATGTATTTTAATCAACAAGTAATTTACTATTATATCAAATTTCCGAGGATTAAAAAACTTCTCCAATGTTACCTTATTGACCTGGCGTCACATAAGTTAAAAACATCATAATTTAAAGCAGTATAAAGGTTATACTACAATGCACATGCACAAGTGAATACTGAAAAATTAAAGACCGCTCTGGCTGTTTATTTACTTAATGAAAGAATGTACTTTACAAAGTGCCCGTAAAAAGACTGAACTGGCTTTATTTATAACAAATATACAGGAAATTAGAAAAAACAAGCAAAAATGTTTTTAAGATCAAGATCTCCAAAAAAGGGACAAGAAAAGTCAAACAAAGTCACCCTCAAGCGGAGCTTTTGCATCTTTTACAGCAGCAGCAATGTTACCTGGAAAAAACCACAAACTTGATCTTACACGTTAACATTACACGTTACACGTGCAGGAATTATCATGAATCAAACTTCAATAACTGAAGGATGGGAGTTTGAAATATCCTCCTTTGAAAACTAGCTTTCTATACATAAAGGGAGTAGTTAACACATACCTGTATACCCCAGGGACTTCAATTCAGATTAAATTGAGAGTTTTTGAATTTCTACAAAACCGTTGTGAATAACACCCTCTCCCCGCATCTTAAAAACCTAAAAATTAAGATTTAAAACATGAAATTAAAAAATGCAGTACTTGCTGCAAACATTGCAAGTGCCCGATATTTTATTTGCAGGAGATATTTATTTACCTTCCCCTCAACCAAACACACTGATGAAATGTGTTATTCATTTTCAAATTCACTGTTTCACTGGAACCAGCAAGCAAATCTAAAATAACGAGAGGAACAGCTATGCTGAAACTGCCCCTTTAACCTTGCTTTAGTAATGCATACATTTACAAGACTGACAGGAATTCTTTGTTGCTTCATCTGAAAGCTACATGAGAAGAACTATTTCCAAAATGCACAGGACAAATTAGGGGCTCAGGGGCAAAGCAGCCACAATTGTAAGAAGAAAAGAGCACAATCCAAAACATGATTTACAATCCTAAATGTTTTTACGTATTTTGAATGATGAATTCATCTTACAGTGCACTGCAAGATTCCAAAACCCTTCTGGGTAATATTTTAATTAAATACATCACACATGTGATGTGCAATTCTTAAATTTACTGATGGATTTGCAACACTTGAATATGTGTTACACATTTGTCCCCATTCCTTTGAAATTCTTTGGAACACTACAGTGCCTCATCTTCTGTACTGGGATACCTCCTGTATTAAATCTGAATATTAACACAGAAGTGTTTGGAACTCTGTCAGCACTCAAGAATAAAACAAAAAAACAAAACTGGTATTTCGTTTTTTTTAGAAGACCCCCCATTATCAGCAGTCAGGAAAAATATATATAAAAAAATCCAAACAGCTTAATCAAGGTGTTTACAAACCAAAGGAAAACGTGGCTTCTCTAGGTTAGCTATTAACTATTAAACTATTAAACACATTACAGGGACCTATGCAATGTACACTAGGGATAGTCTTGGTGTACTGACTTCTCAAGAACAATTAAAGATAGATCATTCCTTTTTAAAAATGAGTGGTTTCTGCATCTATCAACATAAGTATTGCTCATTGGAATAAATATGTTTTTTAGCATTAATTACAGATTTATAGCATTATATTTCCAAAATAGATCCTGCAAGATCTATTTTTAAAACACTGTAGTATGTCAGTTTGCTGGTGTATAGTGTCCTTCATACTAGCTGGTGTATGAAGGCAAATATACTGTATTACAAAAGATATATGGTACAAATGTACTTTCTGTAGATGCATAGATTCTCGTCTGTGTGATCAGTTAATTTCAGTAACAAAACCATTCTACCCACAGTTAGAATGCCGTATTATTTTTCTCGAGTACTTAAATGTATGATAACTGGTCTACATGTTTATTGAGGTTTTTGTGCTTTAAAAAAGACACAACACCTTTGTTGCATCACCTTTGATGGGAAGCTGCTTTGGTGAAGTAGAGGGGAAAGAAAGCTAAATTTGGCAAGGAACAGTTCAGATTGTATTAAGGATTTAGCTGAAACCATTAAAAATCAATTAACTCATATAGCATGATACTCATTATTAGTATTACACCCCACTGTATTTTGCCATCCACATTCACTATCTGCAACATACCCAGCTCCCCCAAAATAAAGACAATTACGTTTTGAAATCATACGAGATATCTTTGTATCTGCTCTGCTGTAAAAGATGCCACCATGCACAATTCAGCATCACCAACAATAGGAGACAGAAACATAACACCGCCACCTAAACAAACTAGAAGCTAAACACAGTGCAAACAAAATGAAATCTGGAATGCCAAAGAAAATGTAAAACTATGTGAAAACTTGAGTTATGGCTGGAATCTTAATGTATAAAAGACCATGTTTACCACAGACCAAAGGAACATTCTATCACTGATGAAAATACTATAAATATCAATTACAGTATCTATTTCCATATTAATTTGTATGGTTTTGGAACAAGCCAAAAGCCAAGTCCAGTCTGCACTAATGAGACAGGGTTCCATTTCACAACATGGCAGATTAGCATCTTTAGGGTTATATCATTCCTAGTTTCCTTTAGCTTAACTAAAATATCCTACCTTATACAAACCTTAAAAAACACATGCTTCCATTATGAGTGTGTAGTGTCACACTGAGGTATTTTAAGTATCACTCTGCCTGAAAAATACGTTTTTTCCAGAGAAAAAAAAAACTTCACAGTCCCACTTTTGTAACAAAACATGTAACATTTGTTTTATAACATTACAAACAAAACCTGCACCCAGACCCAATTTCATAAGTGATTATTCAGTTAACAGAAAACCGTTTTTTTATTTTAATCAATAAATGTGTTCAGAATCAAATATAGTTTAATTTAATCATGCTTGAACAGTATGCATAAGGAATATTTTTTAAAAGTAGTCAGTCATGTAATAGGTATGTCTCCTACCACAGCAATCATGCATTATATTGTCAGAGAGAAATCAAATGAAATTTCCTTCTGCTTAATTAGTAAAAACAAACTTTCCTTTGAGGAGTTACCCAAAATAGCACCACATTTTGAAACACGAGTTGAATTAAAAAAGCAGTCACAACACAACTAGAATGACTGCTGCTGGGAAATTTTCTTGTTCCTGCAGTGGATGAAATTATTCCTTTTGGGACATCTATTGCCAACAAGATGTGTGATATTCCAAAGGCGTTTATTTATAAAATTGAGCAATCACTGTATTTGTCAACACATTTGGTAATTTCTCATAAAATCAGTAGCTTAAAAACTTGCAAACCCATGTAAAGACAGTCTAAGGACACTGGCCTTTCTAGAAACAAAGAAAATAGCTATTGTCAGAATTGTCCAGCACTGTAAATGATTTTGCCCCATGAAAAAAATCCCTTTTTAAACTTGATTTGGTCTACAGCAGTTTTCGATTGCTTGCTTTTGAAAATTCTTTAAAACTTCAGATGTCAGTACAGATAGAAGATACAGCTTATACATTTTTAAAACCCACAAAGAAAACAGATGTTAAAGCATTATATTAAAATAAGACAGAATATATTAGTATCTAATTCCAGCAGCTTGATAAAAAGGTAAATGGCGGCCCTTGGTTTACTGAATGCAGTATTAAATGTTTAGTGGATGAAGTTGCCATATTAAGGTTATTGTGCTACTCCATCAGTAGTTCCTGTCATTTTTTCCTCATCTCCTTGCTTCTGGTGCTGTAGACGCGCATAACTGACTGCATCTCCCCTGTAAAGAGATGACAAAAACACTGTCAGGAAAAAAAAAACTCGGTGAACCCTTAATCATTTCAATAAATGTGATTTACTACAGTCGTCTGCCGAGTCACGAAGACATAAAGGTTACAAATGAGAGGAGGCCATGATGCAACTATTTTGTTTGTCTCTTAGTAGCTACAAAATCTCATCTGGCTAATTTTTAAAAGATGACAGGGTATCATCTTTAGCTAAATGTAGGGGGCTGACATTGACAACAAATAAGCAAGGGTATTTAATACTTTAATATACTACTGTAGTGTCCTTAATAGGTATATGGATTACATTTACAGTTTGTCCACTTTTCAAATTTCAAAGTAGCAGAGAGCAAAATCTAAAAAAATTACTAAAAGCAGTTAATAAGTAGCATAATTTCAAAATGAGAGAGAATTCAGTTTAAAATAGTTGTAGCATCCATCTTTTTTATAGTGTCTTTTGCAACAAATTGCCACAAAGCACTTTACAGAAATATATATAGCAAATGTTTTATGTACAGATAGATTAGGCCTTTGGGCATGGAGGTGAGAAAAACCTGATCAAGGCACTGCAATTCTGAACTTTTTTGCAAGTATAATGCAGTGCTGTTCAAAATGAAAGCACACACAGACGAAAACAGCAGAAATTAGGGAATGCTGATTCTGAATTTTGCATGCTCGGTTTGAAAATGTGTGTAGACTGTAAGTGCTGTGTTTTACTGACACAATGTATATTTCTGAGAGTAAGAATACAACTTACCTTAAGTAAAGTAAATAAAACATGCATCTTTAACCTCTGACTCTCATTTTCTGCTGATTTATCTCCAGTCCAACACAGTCTAACTGTTAGCTATTCAGTCATTTAGGTATTAAAAATCAGGTTTGGTATTGGAAAAGACTCATAACATGATAATATTACTGCTGTTGAAATCAGGATTTAGGAACCTGTTACCTGCCTTCAAGGGACCTAATCCAGTGGGGCACCTCAGGCAGGAAAGGAGAAAGGGGAAGAAAAGTGCACTTGCCACAGACTGACAGTATATACACACAAATCCACAGAAATGCTTTGGAAACCAAACGTAAAGGTAGGAGAACGTGAACGGTGTTATACTTTATCAGCTTGAAATGCTACGTGCTTTGTGTGTTAGGTCAATGATTTTAACAGAATAAATTTAGCCTCAAAATGCTATCATGATTATAGAGCTGCATATTATTCATGTTGTCAAAGTATTACATAGCTGATTAGAGATTAGATATTTTTTTCTGTTAGTTATTTAGTCATAGTTTAATTGTTTAAAAAAATGTATAAAGAGAAGCAGGCAGCACTCCAAAAGATCTTGAATTATGACAGTCTACACTGCTCAGATATAATGTATGCTGTTGTCATAGCGATGAACACAGATCCCTTGTGCTATAAGAAGAGAGACAAAAAGAGTGTGTGAACAGCACATGACAGTACAAATGCAGCTCTACGTAAATGACTAAGAAATTTCCAGTTCTCCTGGAGCTGATGCAGAAATGTCTGCATTTGAAAGTGATTTTTTTTTCTTTTACACGTAGTGCAATATGCTGTACATCTATTCTTCACATCTCTTAAGGCACAGGGTGTAATAAGTGTTACATAAATGTAACTGTGACACATTTCCAGTTTTTGCAATAAGGGAAAATGCATAGTGTGATATGAAGCAGGGGTTGTAGCATAAGACTACTAACATACTTATCCATTACATATTCCCCTCAGATATTATTTTGTACATGTTAATAAAACAGCAAAAAGTAATAAGAACATTTCAATTTCTACATAATGTTGGGAACAGACACATTTACTCCACTTGACTCCACATTGGATATTCTGTTATATGGATCACTTTGCTTTTTACTAGTTACAAGAGGAATGTGTCCATTTTTTGTTTTAGCATTCATAACAATGCCTAAAAGACTCTATTCCAAAAATAAGCCTTTCCTTCAAACAATTTTTCTGCAAATAGGTTACGTTTTCTAAAGTCCTTTGTTTTTCCAGACTTCTTTTCTAGATTTTTCTAAAACAATTTTAAAAGCACTTTTAAAAGGTTAAACATTGCTTACAGTTTATAAATACAATTCACCAAATACCAACAAAGTTGTATTCCATATGAAGGTGTTAATTGATTTTTTAGGCAATTCATGAGACTACTTTTAATAGTGGAAAAAAGTAAACTCTCCAGAATTTTACAGATACAGGCAAATACAGAATGCAAGACAAGTCAAAGAAGAAAAAAATACTTACTTTTTCCCTAGGGATGCCAACCCATACAGGACACCTGTTCCAAAGGCTATTGCATTTCCCAACAGCGTGGTGATGGAAATACTTAGAATTACTGGAAATAATGCCATCCTGCAAGACAAATAAATTTTAGCATTTTATATAATTAGATGATTCCCCACTTTCACAACATCCAAGCATTCCATGCAAAACATTTTCTATCACAAAATGTAATGTGCTTTCAAAACCTTACAACCATACAAAACCTTTTTTTTAGTTCATCATGTTTACATTTAATCAAGTAAATGTATTCATTTATAATCACATGCAATTTCCCTATGTAGAAACATTAATTTAAAGGAATAGAAAACAAGAAAAGCACATTGTATTTAAGAACTTTAAGAAAATGTTGAAACTTCTCTATTCTGGGAACAACAGGCTGTGTTTTACTGGTGGCTGTGCAGTGAATGAAAATAAATTAGGGAGGGTGTAAACTCACTTCTGAGCTGCACTCTTAACTGAAGATTTCAAAGCTCCGGTATAAATAAAATCAGATGAAAAGGCTGCCTAAGCCTAGAGATCCTTACCCACAGTAGAAGAAAGCCTTCTGCCAGGGACGAAGTCTGTCAGCTCGGGCAGCTACTGCATTGGCGAACTCAATGAACTGACAGCAGAATGGAGCTTCACATAAAAATAGGACAAAGGCATTTAACCTTGAAGGAGAAAAGGAATAAATGTTTATGTATAAATGTACAGCACTCTATTAATTACATAAAGAGATACATTTCATGTACAGACATGTTCAAAAGTTACGAACTTCCACTTTCTGACAGTGACTGGATCACAGAAATAAAAGTCTACTATCCAGAAACAAAGGAAGTATGACAAATGTGTACTATTTACACAAAAATCTGAATTGTCAAAGTCATTTATTTCTTATTCACATTGCCGGCCCCCTCTGCATCTTGTCATTAATTGGAGGAGTGATGCGTCTCTCTGACAGCATTGTATGTCCACAGGCACCCTGTATCTTTGTTAATCAGAAAGGTGTGAAGGATCAGAAGGGTCACTGGTACAAGACAAACAGAATGCACACTGGCTGACAGAATGTACAGCTGCTTTGTAACCAGTCCCAGTTAGCAAACAACACAGCACAGACTCAAGACCATGTTGGGCAACGCCTCTCCATGATGGAAACAAAGTTCCACTGACTTTGCAGACTGTGCTAATCATTAGGATTACAAATCACAACATCTTTCTTTTTAAGAAGGGGTCTCACTCAATTGTGCAAAGTACTTTAAAATGTCAATAAACCTTGGCAATTCAAATAAGCATTGAGCATTACAATATAGCATCAAAACACACTCAGGGCCACACTGCAATTATCATGTTACCATGGTCAAATCTGAAATACTTACACCATCCACACGCCTGCTGCTATGTTTAAGGGGTTGATCGTAACACAGTTCCAGATTCCTGCAATTGCACATGCTGTCGAGAAATAGTAATGCAAAACATATGGCAAATTAGGCAATACGTTGTGATTCAGCTTAAAAATCAAAAACACTTTCACAATGATTGTCTATTATACTCTTACAATGTACCCTAGAAATATGTGATCTATAAAGCACTGAATGGAAAAACCAAAAAAACTTCAAGTGACAAACCAATGACGTTTTTTTTTAACATGGACATCATAGCTCTGATAAACATCTTTTATCCTCAGTTAAAATTAATAAACAGAGCCAATGTGCACAGGTACAGCCTGGCCACTCAGAAAACACTTGACTTAAACTACTAAATTAAACCCCTCTGATCTGGTACTATGGTAGTGTTTTCTGAAAAGATTCCTGCAGAAGAAAAAACAAATTAAAGTTTTGCTGCGTGTACACAGGCACACATTACCAGAAAATACACTTATTTGTGGGAGGGGCTGAGACAGCCAGGAACCTGGAAAAATTGTGCAAGGTGGGACTAAAGATTGCAGGACTATGGATATGGGACATTTCACAGGCACAAGTGAGAAATACCAATTAATCTAAGCAGCATGTTTTTGGAAAGTGGGAGGAAATGGGAGTGTGTAGAGACATGCAGGTGGAAAAACAAATATTAAGAGGCAGGAGAGAGACTCAAAATAGAGATTACATATCTCAGATGACAGGGTATAGATGGCAGTAGACATGACATAACATATGAGAAGCAAGATCTGACCTTGTATTTAATTCAAAAAAATGGTAAGAATCTGCCATGATTGTACTACTGATCTTACGGACATTTTGTTCCATACATTTTTGTGATGGTAATCACACTCGGTTATTATTATGTGCACAAGAAGACCAGTGGGATGTAGACTGCTCATATTACAGTATGTGCTTCTATGTTAATCTTTAAATAACTCAGGTGTACCACTTCCTTAAAAAAAAAAGAACTAAATTTCTCAATTAAACAAGTGACCATTAAATCAAGTCAGTCAATAATGAATCTGATACTGCTGTAGTTCCTCCAATATCACTGAACATAAAGAGGTAGGATTAGCAAAGCTAGCATTAAGATAATATGTATACAGCAGAATAGATTTTTACTGCAATTTAAACTCAAATATCACCAAAACAAAATGTCAAAATAAGACAGGACAGAATATTCATGACAATCAGAACAACAGAGAGAACTGCAATGCCCATTTCTAATGTGAAGCTTTATTGTTTGTGAATACAGCAGCACATTGAAGTCTAGAGAACTGTAGGTTTGCTGTATGAATATAAATGAAACTGTTTTATTGGCACTGGGACATGTAGGAAGCATGTTATTTTGAATAGAGCATATTTTTCTATACACATGCATGAACACAGAATTCAATTTTGCCTAACCTCCAGAAGAATTGCAGAATTGTTTTTCTAGTTGTACCACAGCATTCACTTATAAATGAGGAAACATCACAAGGCTGTCCTTTCCAGAACTGCTAAATTAATCATACCTGTGCATTCTTGTAAAAATTTAGAAAGCTGTGATCACTCCTTACTATATAATCATTTTTCTTAAGATCATAATAATGCAGGTGTTCCACTGTTCAATTTAGAATTCCAGATCACTGTGGTCAGTTGCCTCTCTCTGACAGCTATATTGATATAGAAAAGACATCTGATAGATATAATCAAATATGTTCAACATACATATTAAACAAAATCACAGAAAATGGGAACAAAACAACAGAATGACAAATTAAGATATATTTTCAGTATGAAACATGACACACTGTCAAAATGAAAATATAAGTTTAAAAATGTGTATGTGTATGTGAGACTATGTGTATGTGAGACTCTATGAATTGGCTTCATTACTCTGCTCTCCTCCCCACTAATATGTGGTGAGCGTTCTGGCGCACTATGGCTGCCGTCGCATCATCCAGGTGGATGCTGCACATTGGTCGTGGTGGAGGGGAGTCCCCATTACCTGTAAAGCGCTTTGAGTGGAGTGTCCAGAAAAGTGCTATATAAGTGTAAGCAATTATTATTATTATTATTAATAATAATAATTCTTGCAGCACTTACACATAGACCTGATCTACCTTTGGCCAGATAGCTAAGGTTCCTCCACTGATCCTGTGCAACTGCTGACCAGCAGGGGAAAGTTGTCCAACTGCAGTGTTCAACTGATAATGGCATTGTTGAGTGGGGAGAAAATGCAAGCAACTGCAGTCCTGTGTGATCATGCATTGTCCTGCTGGAAAACTTACCCTTCTGGATTGGTTACAGAAAAGCTGTTGGCTCAAGCACTTTGTCAATTTAAAAGTGAGAGCAATCAAACAGTACAAGTACACAAGTACTGTTGTGTTGAATAGAATCCTCCCCACATCATAGCTCTTTCACTGCCCCATAGGTTTTCTTAAACAATGAATCATCAGCATAATTTACATCCTCACATGTTGTGTTATGTTTGTGAAGGGCAAACCACATTCTTCAGTGAATAAAACATCCCACCATCATCTTCTAAGGAGCCTCCAAGGATGTAGATCATATTCATGCAGATGGTAAACTACAATCATTCTGCTGATGTGTGGGCTCTTTCTTCCAATTCCTAGTCCTGTAGCCACTGGAGACTGAAAATGATTATGCAGATAGGTAAGACAGTAATGAAAGTCCTGGGCTGATGTGGCCTTCCAGGACATAGACTATCTAAGTGCATTCCCTGTTTTTTCAGGGCCAATCTGTTGTCTGTTGAAACAGAACACCTCAATGTCATTAACAGGCTACTTTCACTCCTGCAAACAGAAACCAGGTGATCTTTGTAACGCAAACAAGGAATGGCTGCATATTGTGTTCTTGTGTTGAGCATATTTCTAAGCAGCTTTTTATGCATCACATAATTGAGGTAATTTTAACTCAAAGACACAACAAGAGCACAGCATGCGAACAATACTACTAAATTAACGTCATTATTTAAAACAGAGCTAACTCATCACACATGTGTCCAATGAATTACTGCTATAAAACAGACTTGTGTTTTAAATGTGCATGAATCTGGAAAATCCTTTTAACATTACGGAGTAACCCTCCCTGTTTGGGTGCACATTAATAACTGCTTCCAGTCTGAGGAACAGTTTGCATTTTCTAATCTGGCTGTTGTAGCAAACCATCCACCTATAGCTAAATGTTCTTTTTGCCAGTAAATCTGTAAAGCAGGGCCGCACGAATTGTAACTACAACTGCACCCAACTGTGTCCGAGACAGGATACAACTGTCTGAAGAAAGTCCTTATACCCAATTAAGAAGTCAATCAAAACATCCATTATCATAGACAAACGATGAAGTCATTTTAAATTGAACACGCTATGTCGTAAACAATGTAACAGGTTTGTCACCACCAGAATGAAATGAATGGATTGTGCAGAAAATGGACTTTGGGCACAGTAAACACACAAAGACATTTCAGGTGCAATGATCTCCACGCACATTCCAAGGGGCGGAGTGCAACATCTTACTCCCTCTAACTGGACTCCGAGGACAGCTTACGGAGCGTTTACATTGTTGAAAATGAAACACGTCTGATGAAACTACGCTTAAGGAGTCTGAACTACAATAAGAAGTGTGGAAAAATAAAGGCATTCTGAAATTCGTTGCATATCAAAGAGAAGAATGGAAACGTCTTCTCTCCAGACTAGTTGTCCCCAGACTGTTGGTTAAAAGTAACAAAGGTGAATCGGCAATGAAACAATCGTTAACACCCTGCTGCATCCGGCTTACTTACAGATTCCTCCCACGACTCCAGCAATTTTGCAGATCCACCGATACCACCAAGACATGCCATCGTCATCGGCGCTGCTGGCGTTGGTAGCGGCTGGCTGCTCCCCGGAGCTCATTTTACCCCAATGAATTATTCAGCGTTGTGCTGTCTGAACAGCTCAGTAACAATGGGTCCCCAGTTTTCGGGCTGGGACGAGCAGATACACCCGCTCAATAATTAAAAGTGATCTTTCGTTTCGTCTTTCAGGAATACGTACAACAAAACCACGTTATCCAAGAAACAAACCTTCCTTGAAAGAAGTGATAAAAGGGTGAATTTTAAGGCATAAACGTATTCCCAGCCAGATAAAAGACAAATAATCTTTAAATAAAACGTCTTTGATATCCACTTTGAAACGGCTTAGTTACAACTACCTTTTCGACTTCTTAAATTTTCTGCCAAATCCAATTTCTTATTTTAAGTTCATTTCAATCAGCTCGGACTGAATTTAACTAAATCTCATATGAAAATTACTATGAATTAATTTAACACACAACGTCTCAATTAGTACTGCGACAGTCCCGTGTATTTCATTCATCATCCGGTATCATTTGAATCCTACATACGTTTCCTTTTGTAACTTTCTCGGTTTTTCTTTACCGATAAAGATCCTTCTGTTTCCACAGCTGTTCGGCTCAACCCGCGATGCATTCTGGGTGGAACAACACTGACGTCACTTGCTTAAAGACACAGCTGTTGTCTTGAACACGTCACTTGTGCAAGTCTACACAGAACAGTAACGAACCATAGCACTTGCAATACATAAACTGGAACTTGGATCTAGTGAAAAAACGGAACTCTTCACTCACGCATCCAAAAGCTTCTGATCATAGTACTGCTGTATCCGATAGAGATACGTTATTGAATGTGGAGATGTGAGAAAATAAGGTATGGACAACATAAGATAACAGCACAACATTTTAATAATCAAAACTCAATCGACAGATGTAAAGCCTTCAAAAGAAAAACATTTCATCAATGTCAGAAAGGTCACTCTGCTCTACAGGGCGGTCTGCTTCCTGGTGCTGGGAAGCATTTCCTTCCGATGCCACCTGGTTGAGTAATGACACAGGAACAGAATGCATCTCCGTTAAAGAATAGCCAGCATCATGTGGACCCCCTCCACCTGCTCCTGGATGAGTTGCACTTGGTTGGAAAGAGATGGAACCACTGAAGGCCAAAGGGTCACCTTCCAGTAACTCTTCCCAATCTGAGTAGAAGACAAATTGTACTAAGTTAAGTTACATGATAATAATCATTCACTAGTACAAGTGAGTATTTTCATTGCATACACACAAATCCTGTGTGTTGACTAAGCAAGCTACAAAATGGAATGCATACCCTGTAACCCAGTATGCTGAACTCCACTGGGACAAGTTGGTGCCGTCAGAGTCTTCTCTTGTGGAAAATGCGGCTGAAGTCTGCAGCAAGTCAAAGTTAGAGCAGAATTCAGCATAAGACTGTTTTAATAGCACACAAGTAGAACAAAAATTGAAAAGGAAAATCTTTACATTGGCAGATTTACTCTTTCGCCTTTGTGACAATTAACTTCCCTTTGCTGTATAATATGTAGGATGTCTACAAGCAGAAAGAAAAAATTGAACAAAATGCGAGCATGTATTCTACAATGTTTTGAAGTATTCATAATCCAATTCCATCCTGTTCATGTGGCAGAATTTGCCCTCAGCACAAGCAGGATTAAAAGGAAACATACAGGAATCAACTGGAGAAATGGTATTTTGACTGATGATTGCTCTAGCCAGTGAAAGTGATAGAAGCCCATCTCACAGTCCACAAGCCAAGCCTGCACATCCCACTACCGAAAGAGTGGGAGACACTAAACAGGTCAGTTGGATATTTTATCCATTTTCCAAATTGTAATCCAATGCTTGGAAGTAGACACCTGGAGCAGTGAGATGGGCTCACAGAGGCATGATAGACCCTGGGAAGAATTCCAGTCTATATTTAATAGATATATGGCACACTGGTTTTGAATTGATTGTCTCAATCACTTTCCATTAAAACTCACAAATTTGACACCTGAACACAAAAGCCTTCACTTTACTTTGTAGGTTACCTCACAAATCACCAAAATTTATCTTAACTCGTGCTTTTAGAAACCTGCAAGGCTAGAGCTAGAAACGACTTTTTGGCTGTTGCCACCTGAAGACAACTCCAGCTGAAATGTTACATTTATTTTCAGATGGAATTTAGCTTTATCTGTGCCTTTGTAGCCTACGCAAGCTAACAGCTGCCTACTCGAGCACAGAGCCATGTTTGGAGGGAAAAATGAATGCACTGTATTAAATATACAAAAGGTCAATTATGGAGCTTTTTAACTAGTACCTGTAGTTTAATTGTGGAGTACTGAGTAAATCACACAGTGACTGGGCTGCCTGCTGTCCTACTGGCGTTGAAAGGCCGGACCAGGAGAAAGAGCTTTCGGGGTCAGGTAGATGTGAAGTCACTGGGACAGAAGTACTGAAACAAGGTTGTGGAGCCTCATTTCTGTAATCTACGAAAAAGGAGGCATTCTCCCAGGAGGGTACCATGGGAGTAGTCACCTGCTGTGGCCTATTGCAATATCCTGAGAAAAACAAGCAAAACACCACAATGAAATGTTGGAATACCTCAAAGGAGCTGCACTAAAGTATTTTACTGCTTCTTTAATGCACATATTTGAGCAATTAAAAATCTTAAATGAAATGGAAATACTATTACTATGCAATAAAGTTAGATCCATTATTTTGGAATTACTTGTAACTGCTGGAAATAAAAACAAAAAGGACCATTTAGTACAAAGTGTAAAACATTAAAACACCTACCATACTGAAGGTCACCCATTTGAGCTTCAGGCATTTTATGAGATTCTGAAGTCACTTCTAAAAGGCGATTTAGATCAACCATACCCTCCGTCCCTTTAAAATTACATGCAAACAAACGAAAAATAAAAAACAGGGGTAAACCTAGGACTACCATGTAAGATTTTCCAAATAAGCACAACTTTAAAACACCAATCTGATGTGAGGAAACCATAATACCTAGAAAATGGATACATGGCTGTCTTTCAATGTAACAGAAAATAAGGAAAGAACCAGCTTACCTGCATTGTGAAGAACTTCATGATCACTTTTGTCAGATGTTTTCAAACTGCCAGCTTTCTTGCTTTGGTTCATCAAACCAGGATTTGGGCAAGGTTTCCCTTTACTAAAACAGCATCCATTAAAACAGTCTCCAAACTCTTAAAATCATTACCTTTACAAATCAATCATTAAGGACAGCATTTCAAGTTCATTGTCATTATACTCATATACAGGTACAGTATATGGTATAATGAAATGCTATTTAGAGCTCTCAGACGATACGTAGTACAAAAAAACATCAGGCATGTGCAAATGTTCAACAGAATGAAATAGAAGGATAGACATTATGGGGAGTGAGCTTTTTGACCTGTGAGGTAGAGGTAGTGTGTGAGTTTTTGAAGAAAGAAGGCACTTTGAGGTTCAGATCATAGGTGAGAGGTGAGTTGAGAGTGAGAGAGGCTGGGAGTTTAATAGTTTGATAGTGTGGGGGTAAAAACTGTCTCTGAGTCTGGTAGTCCAAGCCCAAATGCTCCGGTACCATTTTCCAGATGGTAGAGGGTCATACAGTCGGTAGCTGGGATGTGTGTGGTCTTTGATGATGCTTAGAGCTTTCCTCAAGCACAATCTGTCATAAATATCCTATATAGATGGGAGGGCAACCCCAGTGATGGACTGGGCAGTTTTCACCACCCGCTGTAGGGCTTTGTGGTCAACAATACTGCAGTTGCCATACCACACTGTAATGCAACCTATCAGTGTGCTTTCTGTAGTGCATCTGTAAAAGTTAGTGAGGATCTGGGGACATATCTTAGCCTTCTTCAACCATCTTAGGAAGTACAGGCGCTGTTGCACTTTCTTGATCAGACAGGTGGCATTGAGAGACCATGTGAGGTCCTCGGTGATATGGACTCCAAGGAATTTAAAGTTACTGACCCTTTCCACTTCAGTCCCGTTGATGTGGATAGGGGCATGTCCGTTTTGCAGTTTCCTGAAATCAACGATCAGCTCCTTGGTTTTGCCGACATTGAGGGTGAAGTTGTCTTCACACCACATTGTAAGGAGATTAACCTCCTACCTATAGGCCCTCTCATCATTGTCTGTGATCAGACCTACAACTGTGTTGTCATCGGCAAACTTGATGATGGGGTTGGTGTTGCGTTTGGCCTTACAGTCATGGGTGTAGAGGGAGTAGAATAATGGACTAAGCACACACCCCTGGGGGACCCCAGTGTTCAGAGTTAGTGTGCCGGAGGTGTGGTTTCCAAGCCTGACAGCCTGAGGTCTGCCTGTCAGAAAGTCCCGAATCCAGTTGCAGAGGGTGGTGTTGAGACCCAGTGCACCAAGTTTCTTGACTAGTTTCTCTGGAATGATAGTGTTAAAAGCTGAGCTTAAGTCGATGAATAGTAGTCTTGCGTAGGTGTTCTTTTTATCCAGATGAGATGGGGCAGTGTGTATGGCAATGGAGATCGCGTCATCTGTGGATCTGTTGGGCCGGTAGGCAAATTGGTATGGGTCCAGTCCGTTTGGGATGGTGTCCTTAATGTGCTTCATGACCAGCCTCTCGAAGCACTTCATGATGACAGGTGTTAGTGCCAGCGGTCGGTAGTCATTAAGACATGTCACTGTGGTTTTCTTCGGTATTGGGATGATGGTGGTCGTCTTGAAGCAGGTGGGGACTACGGCTTGGGCCAGAGACATGTTAAAAAGGTCTGTGAATACACCTGCCAGTTGATTGGCACAGGCTCTGAAGACGTGGCTGGGTATGCCGTCAGGTCCTGCAGCCTTGCGTGTGTTCACTTTTTGCAGAGATCTCCTCACCTCATCTGCAGACAGTGAGAGCAGCTGGTCAGCTGCGGAGAGTGCAGCTCTGATGGCTGGTTCTGCGTTGCTGGCTCCAAACCGAGCATAGAAGGTGTTGAGCTCGTTAGGCAGGGAGGCATCATGAGCAGGTGCACAGATGTTCTTCCTCTTGTAGTCTGTGAGGGCCTGTATACCTTGCCACATGCACCTTGGGTCATTAGTGGTGAAGTGTTCCTCCAATTCCTGTTTGTGTGTGTTTAATACCATTGTTTAGATTGATCCGGGCTGACCTTAGTTCTGATTTATTGCCCGATTTGAATGCTGCATCCCTTGCTTTGATTAGGATGCGAACCTCACTGTTCATCCATGGTTTCTTGTTAGGAAAAGCTCATTTCTTTTGTGAGTGTGACATCGTCAGCACATTTCCTGATGTAGCTAGTGATTGACGATGCATATTCCCGTATGTCGGTGTGTGATCCCCGTGTGGCAGCCTCTTTAAACACACTCACATTTCTAGAATACACACACAATTAAATGCACTGTGAATACTATACGTCACCCTGCATGTAGGGATCTGCAAATACCAGCATTCAGTGGGTGAATGTTTTGTTTGCACATTGCTGTAGTCACAAAAATCTACCGATAGAAGCAATAAGAATTTGGCAATATTTTAACAGAACAGTGATGGGTAGCATCATTAAAATAAAGTATATTAAAAGCCCTTCTCACTAACCAGCTGGGACCAAAGTGAAGGTAAACATATTCTTTGAATAACGAACAAGAGAGGTATTCGATTACTAACCCACTTCTGTTGCTCTTAATACGCTGGGACTTTTGCCTGCTTACTTCTTCACAAATCCTCCTCCTGCATTGTTGTCTCTTTATCTGATGTTCCAGCTGCCATTTTTTGCACAGTTCTTCTGGTGGATACAGCACCTAAGCAAAAGTAAAACAAAGGGGAAGGACATCCTTTGTAACTTAAGCAGCAAACTGGTAAGAACATTCAGGTTATAAAATCACTGATGTTAAGAAACCTGGACCTTATTCAGCTGTTTGACAGAAGCCAGGATAACAACTTCAGTAGGTTGGTAGGGTTTTGAATTTGGAACCATTTGGATTTTGAAAGATTTAACAATGTTCTTTCAGTGTTTAGTTCAACACTGAACAGCTCAAAGAAATTAACCTGCTGTTAGGCTTAGGAATGTATTCCTCAAAGCGATAGCAATGATTTTTTGACACGGTGTCGGTGTAAATTATTGTAGGTTAAATCGGTCCTAGTCTGGTCGAGTCACGGCACAGCAGGTTTTACAGGGAATGTGCTCCTCACTGACAAAGCATTGAAACCGTTTGAATGAAGTCAGAACAAGCTCCGTGGCTACATCTTCCTTTCGTCAATGGTTGATCTGCTTTGTAATGAGACTTACTGTTCTGTGCTGGTGTGCTGGGAGCAGTTGCTGGATCAGCTCCAGGTAGGCAACAGTCATCTCCAGAATGGTGACCATGTCATTCCGACTGCCACTGAGCTGGGGAAGGAGCTGTCTGAGTTTATTACAGCTGACGGTGATCCGCTTTCTGGGTGAACAATAGAAGTCAATGGCAAAATATACAAAATGTTTGTTTTTTTTTTTAAGATTGTCACCTTCTCATAATTATCAATAAAAAAAAAAGCCTTTGCAAGAAAAAAAAACATTTACACGAGCGTCATCTTTTTTGGAAACACCTGACATATTAAATGTAAAGATTGCAGACAAATATCTCCAAAAGATAGAATTTGGATCTCAGTACATATAGAATACACCATCACTTTATGGTTTAGTCCTACGTTTTAACAATCTACATTCTTTATGGTTTTGGTTAGTGGATGTCCTCATTAGGTCTTCTTATAAAAGGAGAGGCAGAGTTTTCATCCTCAAAAAACAACAACAGCTTATATAGCACTTATCTGGACACTATACAGGTTATTGGGATCCCCTCCACCTCCACCAATGTGCGACCCCACCTGGTTAATGCAACAGCAGCCATAGTGTGCCAGTCTACTCACCCCACCCCAGCTCTCAGTGGGGAGGAGAACAGAATGAAGCCAATTTATAGATGGGGATTATTAGGAAGCCATGATTGGTAAAGGGCAGGGGAAAGTTGTCCTAGGATTAACACCCCTACTCTTCTCAAGAAGAGTCCTGTAATTTTTAATGACCGCAGAGAGTCAGGACCTCAGTTTTTCATGTCTCATCTGAAGGACGGCACCTTTTCACAGTATAGTATCCCCCCATCACTATGCTGGGGCATTAGGATCCATACAACCATGAATAACTCCTACAAAACAAACATCCAAAACTCTAACTTACCTACGGTTTCTTTCCATGATAACACAGCCTCTATTGATTTTTGCAGTAGCTTGCCTGTGTTCTTCAAGCATTTTCTTCTGAAACTCATTCAGACCAGTCTCATCATCCAGTTCATCTGTAGACCACAACCTAAATAATTTACATCAAATGTCAATCTTGCTAGACTTACTGCCAAATACCATGTTTAATTCTAGTACAAACAGCAAAAAAAAAAACGGTTTAAAATTTTAGTTCACATAATGTGTCTCTCTTTAGTGCCAATGTGATGTTTAAGCATTAATCAACTTTAGACATTAATTTCTAATATTGATAACTTCAAAATGTACATCCATACAGGATTGCATGTCAACAGTATTCTATGAGAAAACTCACCCAGTATAAAGTTCATTATCCGTACCAGAACTGGACTCATTTGGTTCTCTGGAACTTTTCTCAACCGATAGAGGCGCGGATAAAAGTTCTTGAGTAGTCGTGTTACTAACAGCAGTTTCAGAAACACATGCTTTATTTTTACTGTTTAACCTACGGCTTGGGTAAATACTTTCTTGAATTTGGTCATCACAAGTGCTTCCATGTTCGGCAGATGATGACATTTAAATAACGAATTGCAATATCTCTTTATTTTCAAATTTAGTTTTACTATAAAACGTTACTATTCTCCTCACCACATTTTAAAACATTCTTTGTAGATTGTAAATTGGTAGCTAGTGTGCTGAGAAATTTGTTGAATCAAAAGATCAGCTGGTTGTACTTAAGTGCTCGTGATTCACCGTAATTCTTTAACTGTGTCAGAATGCGACGTCAACAGCGTTTTATTCTATAAAAGAAACATCTTCGAGAGAACGATAGGGGTAGAATTCAGTTTAGGGTGCCTTTTTTAAAATTAATTCATTGTATGCATTTATCCCTTTATGCATTTTAAAAAATAAAAAGTACAATCTATTATTCCGAACACCCGGACTCTTAACTAATGTTTGTGTTGTGGTTATAGTTGCTCAGCAACAACCTAAAACGGAAGTGTTCTGCAGAACGGTTTCCGGAAAAAGGATCGCCGAAAGAGGTTATTGTCAATTCAAGATGGCGGCGCACATGGCAAAGCTGAGAACTTGGAGCAGGGTGCCTAGGTAATTATAGACAGTACGATTATTTATTTAATTGTTAAGGTAAAATTAGAGAAATCGATCTGAATTTATTGTACGCTGTGACAGTTTGATTGCGGAAGTTCGGTTATTTTTGTTTGTGTTAATCGTTAGAGAAATGTCTTACTCTCGTGACATTGTGTTTATCCGTCATAATAGCGGTTGTAAAACACCTTTCTACATTAAGAATGACAGAATATCAGTGCTTAAGGGTTGTTATGATTTGATTTCTGTTTTATATATTTCATGACTGATAAATGGTGAAAAGAATGTAATGTCATTGTTTTTAGTCTTTTATTACCATTATCATTTGGTTCACATGGATGGATCCACACATCATAACATACTGTAGCTATTCAGTGACCGTGATATATTTTTAAGTAGAATGAAAATTAAATTGTCTGTTGCACTTTGCTGTTTTTATCATCGAAAGTTTAAAAAAACAACAAATGTTAATAGTGTCAGATTAAAATTCTAAGCCATTGTCTATCTAGCCATATATATGTGTAATTTGAATGTGCAGTAGAATTGTTTTTGAAGTGTCTTATTTGTCTTAATCCAGATTTGGGATTGCGGCCTATAGGAGGTATAGCAGTGGAAGTGGCTACCCAAACATCTCTTTGTCTAGCCCCCTGCCTGGAGTTCCCAAGCCAGTGTTTGCCACTGTGGATGGCCAGGAGAAATATGAAACTAAAATCACAATGCTGGAAAATGGACTCAAAGTGGCTTCACAGAATAAGTTTGGTCAATTCTGCACAATTGGAAGTAAGCAGAACGTTTTCTGAAATAAAAGTAAATATAGGTTTACTTTTATTGTTGTTATCTAAATAGGTCTAGTCCCCCAAATCACTGGACTCCACACATAGGTCCAGCAAAATGTTATATAGTACCATCTCTCCAACTCTACAAAAGCATACATCCATACCAAACCTGTCACTGATGTGGCTGTCTCTATTCTTTCTAACTGCATCTCTGATATAAAAATTTTGATGACTCAAAATTTCCGTCATCTTAACTGCGACAAGACTGAAGTCATGCTTATTGACACCCCCCATTAACTTTGTAAAGCCAGTCCTGTAACCCTATCTGTAGATGGTTCTGTACTTGAGCTTCAATCTAAATTAAAAAACCCTGGGATTATATTTGATTCTGGCTTATCATTCGACCCACATGTGCAACATTTTGTCAAAACATCTTTTTTTCACCTCAGAAATATCGCTAAACTACACCCTATGCTGTCACTAACTGAAAAGCTAATCAACACATTTGTGTTCTCTCGAATTGACTACTGTAATGCTCTACTCGCTGGGGTATCTAAATCTACTTTGAACAAACTGCAGTATGTCCAAAATTCAGCAGCCAGAATCCTGACCAGGTCTAGTGCAAATAATCACATTACTCCTATCCTGGAGTCCTTGCACTGGCTTCCGGTCAAATTCCGTGTAGACTTTAAAATCCTCATGCTCACCTATAAGGCTCTGCATGGCTTGGCACCTCAGTACCTGTCTGAACTATTATCGCTCTACTCCCCACCTCGCAACCATTGCTCTTCTAACTCTGGTCTCCTTACTGTTCCCCAAGCCTGTCTACATTGTATGGGTGACAGGGCCTTCTTGTGTTATGCACCCAAGCTCTGGAACTGTCTCCCCAAGGATATCAGAGAGTCACCTTCTCTAAACTCCTTCACATCCAGGCTCAAAACCTTCTTTAGAAAAGCCTTTACTTAACTGTTCCATTCTTCACCCCTCTTCTTTTCTTAGTAGCACCATCCACGGTCTCCTCTATATATTGTAATTGTGTTTTATCTTGTGTATTCTTTTTATTTATTGTTGTTGTCATTCTGTAAAGCACTTTGTGAAAGCCACCTTTAAAGGCGCTATATAAAATAAAGTTTATTATTATTATAAAGCACATCACTAATAGAAGATAGACACACTTTGTGCAGCAAAAGGAATTCAGGGGATCAAGATAAAAAATGTTAAAATCAATTTTTTTCATTAAATCATTACATTACTGCTTAAGCAGTTTTTTCCTTTTTTGTCTGTGTGCATAGTATTATTTTGAGGATTCATATTGTGTTTTTTGCCATTTCAGTTTTGATAAATTCTGGATCCAGACATGAAGCAAAGTATCCAAGCGGAATTTCACATTTTCTTGAGAAGCTAGCATTTTCTGTAAGTTCTGGCACTGTCTCCGTTGATTATTATTAACATTAAGGTTTGATATAAACCTTTACACTTTTTTTATGCATAAATATGCAATGTCATTTAAGTCCACAGCCCAGTATGGAAGCAAGGATGAAATCCTTTTGACTCTGGAAAAGCATGGGGGAATCTGTGACTGCCAGACGTCCAGGTAATAAAACACAAATGTCATGTTTTTTAGTTGTAACCATGAAATGGAGACCTGGCCTTGTGCTTCTTTGTGAAACTTTGTGAAAATGCTTATGTCATGGTCTCCGAACAGAGATACCACGATGTATGCAGTGTCAGCAGAAGTGAAAGGACTGGACACAGTGGTCAGTCTGTTGTCTGACGCGGTACTGCAGCCTAGATTGACAGGTAACCCCAATCATTTACAAACTATCACTTCTTGGGACTAAGAATAAAATATTAATGCTGTTCAATAAAAAAATGTTGACTTCTATCCTAGCAAAAATCACATTTTTTTTAAAAAAGTAATTACAATTACTTTTTGTAAGTAATTGTAATTTTGTAAGTAATTACAAGTTGGAGCAATTGACAGTTTTTAAAATAAGGTCTATTCATCATGTAATTTATAAGTATGGATCTGGTTGTATAGTGCTTTAATTTTTAAAATACCTAGTAATAAGGCACAAGATAAAATCTAGGCTTAGTTCCCTTTATTAAAAAAAAAAGGTAAGCATGCACTAGTTCAAATGTCTGTACTTCCCTTCTGGGTCATTGGAGATTGTTTACAGAATGGCTTCTTTTCTTGGGTAACTTGACATTTTAGATAGATTTTCTCAGTTTGATGTGTACGATTCTTCTTTAATTTCTAAAAAAGCTCATCAGTGCCTTTTACAGTACTTACATTTATGTTGTATTCATGTTATTTTGTTTTGTAAAATACTGATCTAAACAGCTGGTAATCTGATAATCTGAAATCTGGTAATCTCCTCTTGCTGTTGCATTCAGATGATGAAATCGAGATGACCCGGATGGCTGTCCGCTTTGAGCTAGAAGATCTGAACATGAGACCTGATCCCGAGCCCCTGCTGACTGAAATGATACATGCGGTAACTAACTCCTATTTGTGCTCTTTTCGAACAACAGTTTACCACTTGGTAAATGTTAGATCTAAGGTCAAGAGCAATTGTGAAGTACTGTTTTCCACATAGAAGACCTAGCTAGATATGAGGTGCTTAAGTTATAGGTTATGGATAGCTTCCAAGTTTTTTTGGTGACAATTTTTATTTTTTAATTTTATAAACTTGAAGAAGTGTTCGCCTCTCACCTTTTGAGCTACTTGCCTCCAAATCTGCTTTAATAGACTTCTAAAATAGTTTGACAGCTACAGCAGAAATCCCATTCAATATGGCCTTGAAAACACCAGCAGCAAGCTCTGCTGTCCTCTTCACTGGCATCATAAATCCATAAATATTATTCCAATAATGTCCAAGAAACAGCTTCATCTGTGATATTGAAGTCCTGAAGATGGCAATAAAAAGACCTCAACTAATTCTTTGTTTTACTTTGGAGATCAAACAGATTACACATGTGTGTATGGGCAACCTTGTCCCCAGGGGAAACCATAACGCATATTGCAGAATGGAGAAGTAATTACTGAAAGAAAAATCTTTTAGTGATTGCAAGTTCTGGAGAGGGCGTAGACCATCCTAATTAAAAAAAAAAATCTGTTAGAATGTGAGTTCCTTTGAGTATTCATTTAGAAAAGAGAATGGAGAGCTGCATGTAAGGAGGTTATGATCATGAACAGGTGTTTTTTTTTTTTAGCTCAAAGTCTTAAAAAGTAAGTGAAGGAAAAATTGAAGAAAAGTGTAAGTAGCAGCAGCTCTAGCATTGGGCTTTCATGTGAACAGTCATGGGAACTTGTCTGTCTTCCAAGTTTATAACACTATCTATTTTCAGCCTTCAGTTTCTATACTGCCCGAGTCATTTGCTGATTTATGGCAGATATAGATTACTCCAAGGCAATAAATCAAATCTCAGTTCTAAAATTCACATGCAGGATATGCTTTAGAACTGCAAGCTCCACTAGTGTCACATGGGCATATGGAGAAAGACTTCACCACCGACATAGAAAAACATCTTCATCTCCAATTACATGCAGATTTATTCTTTCTTGTTAACCAGTAGAAACCTGTTGATTAGAGGAAAGTTAATGAGAACCTCTGTGGTGAATGTTAACTGATGTTCTGTCCCTAGGCTGCTTATAGGGGGAACACAGTGGGCCTACCTCGCTTCTGCCCTGCAGAGAATGTCGAAAGTATCAACAAGACTTTGATTCACGAGTACCTGCGCTGCTACTACGGCCCTGAGCGGATGGTGCTGGCTGGGGTGGGCGTTGAGCATGAGCAGCTGGTGGAGTGTGCCAGGAAGTACCTGCTGGATACGAAGCCAGTGTGGGGCACGGGGAAACCTGGCAGTGTGGACCGTTCTGAGGCACAGTACACGGGGGGCATCATCAAGGTTAGACCACCCACTAAGGTCCGCATAGAGTGTTGAAACTGGAGAATGCCTGGCCTCTAACAATCATTAATGCTTAGCAGATCTGAAAGTGGTCTGTTTCTTAGGCTTTTCAGTTTTGGGTCTGCTAAGTTAAAAAGGCATTGGAATGCTGTGATGCAAGAAGCGTCTTGCTTACAGAGAACAACAGAAAATGTTCGACCTATTTGAATGCAGGGAAATATGAATTATTCATCTGTTTTTTTAACCACTTCTTCCGACTCAGGGTCACGGGGGAGCTGGAGTTTATCCTGGCAAGCAACAGGTGCAAGGCAGGATACACCCTGGAATGGACAGCAGTCCAACACAGGGTGTACACAAACACAGACAGGGCTAATGTTCCCAGACGTCTGTTAACTTATTTTTTTTTTCGACTGTGGGGGGGGAAACCAGAGCACTTGGTGCAACCCACACAAACTTGGGGAGAACATTCAAACTCGACGCAGATCGTGCCACAGGTCTGGAGAACCCAGAGCCCCAGTGCTATGAGGCAACAATTCATACCACTGTGCTGGCCTCAGTTGAATCAGTGAGGGGATTTCCCAATAGGCAGTGCACAATCGGCCGAGCCCCATCAGGGCAAGGGTAGGACTTTCTCGACTTTTCCAGAATAAGCCTGCAAGCTTAAGTTTGAGATCCCCCGCTTGTCAACATTAACTCGCTGGTTAGGAGTGGCTCAATGACTAGAGCCTCCCTCCTCATTCTCTCTGCGCACTACTGTGATTGTTGCCGTTTGCTGAGACATTAAAAACAATTGGGAAGTCCTAAGTAGGGTGTGTGTGAAGAAAATGTTAAAATGAAAAATATCAACTCGGCATTCAAGTTTTTAAGTTAACAACCCCCAATGTTAATATGAGCAGTTAAGCATGTGGAAGTCGGCATGGTGTGTACTAAATATCCTGTGTTGAGCCTGGGATTCTTTTATCTCTCCAGAATGAGAAAGACATGTCTGATGTCAGCCTGGGTCCCACTCCCATCCCAGAGCTCACACATATCATGATCGGCCTGGAGAGCTGCTCCTTCCTGGTCAGTGATCTTTCAGGGTGTTCTTGTATATAAACATGGTAGAGATCTGCTTATTGTGATGTTCCTTTTTTCCTTCCAGTCATGGTTCCTCATCTTCCCATATAAAAAAAATATCCCATAGACTAAGGAATGTCTGTTACAGTTTCCTTCACCTTAGTTATCTATCTTTAGTTCCTAAAGCAAACTTTTAAGACGAGTGCATGATTGTTGTGTGTGTTTTCTTAGCTGGATTGCTGTTTTTTATCAGGAGGATGACTTCATTCCCTTTGCTGTTCTTAACATGATGATGGGAGGGGGAGGGTCATTTTCAGCGGGCGGTCCTGGGAAAGGCATGTTCACACGACTGTACCTCAATGTCCTGAACAGGTAAGGTTACAGGCTTATTAGCAAGTACTAACCTCTGATGCTGACTTGCATGAAAAACATATGCTTCATTAATGACTTATGCTTTTTGAATGTCTTACAAAGACCTATACTACAATGCATGTAATATCATAAAAGCAGAGTTATTAGCACTATTACTTCATGTGTTTTGTAGTGCACTCAAAGTTTTAATTTTAGAATTACCACTTGTTAAAAAATTACAAAAGCTGTTGTGATGTGACATTTGCATTCACAAGGTGAAAAGAAGTTAGATATGTTTTTATTCCCTGTTTCAAGACAACTGCATTGTGACTTCACTACTACAGGGCAGAAACAAGCGGAGCTAGTATCGTTTCTGTTGCTGATGCTATAGAAATGTGGTATGTGGGTATTTTTTCCAATGTAGTTGCTAAGGTGGTGACAGATTTTAGAACATGTCTGTTGCTTTTAATTGCAGACATCACTGGATGTATAATGCAACATCCTACCACCACAGCTATGAAGACACTGGTTTGCTGTGTATCCATGCTAGCGCAGACCCCAGACAGGTAATACTTCAAACTTATTTATATTTCACTTGTACCTCAAGAAAGCCATAGCATCACTTTGTGTTTTTTAAAGATTTTCTCAACTTTTCTTGAGGTGAAAACCATTATATACTGAACAGGTGTGTTGGAAATCATCTTGTGAGGCAGTGGTTCTCAGTCCTAGTCTTGGACTTGACTGAGTCTGTTTTGGCTGGTTTTTGTTCAAACTGAGCCCTTAGTTACTAGTGCTAATTTGTTTAGTTTTCTATGTGAGGCTTTCGTTTTGTCAAAAAATGCTTTCATCTCTTAAACGTAATGTGTTTTGAATTAGAGTGAATACTGTGTTAATCAGGACTGACCTCATTCATATGTGTTTTTTGACAACCAACTGGATTTAAGCAGAAGGCAAACACTGTGGGGGTGTCTGATACAGTGTCATTCCCACCTGTGTATGTTCATCATCAATTGATCAAGTGACTTCAAAGAGTTTTATAGAGTTTTATAACTGATCTAGAGATGTGTGTGCTGAAGCTATTAGAAACAATGCAGTTTAACTAAAGCATTTTTTAAACCAAAGAAATCTAAACCAGCAAGCTAATCAGTTCATGCTCCAATGAATGCTGGTGATTAAGTGCCCAATTGGAACAAAAACTAGCAGACACAAAGCCACTCATGTAAGGGACTGATTGCAGTCTAAATTGTTGCAGTCAGATGAATGTGCATTTTAAATTCCGTTATCATTTTGCAGGTGCGGGAAATGGTTGAAATTATAACCAGGGAATTTATCCAGATGGCTGCTACACCTGGAGAGGTAATTCCTCAGGGCCTTCTATACAATAAGAAGGAGGCTTTTCAACATCAACCCACCAACAAGAATCTGGTTCAAAATATTTGGAAGTGAAATCCAACCCATTGCCCTATACAGCAGTGAAGTGTGGGGTGTCCTCACAGACCAGGATTACACTCAATGGAACAAACACCCCATAGAAACTCTGCACATGGAGATTTGTAGAAACATCCTCCATGTGCAGAGCAAAACACCTAACAACACGTACAGGGCCAAACTAGGCCAATACCCACTAATAATAAACATAAAAAAGAGAGTATTAAAGTATTGGCTACACCTAAAAACAGTGACCAAAACACCTACCACCACAAAACCCTGTTGAGCCCAACAAAGAGCTCTCTGAGCCAGCTGGTCCTAAAGCTCACTGGCCCGAGCCACACCAACACCAGCCAGCCTCAGGACAGCACTGCTAGAGCATCACAACTCAGAATCAACCACATCACAGCACAGATCAAATAACAATATCTCACACACTGGGACACACACACAAACACAACATAAACTGGAATGCAACAGAACCCTAAATAGACAATACACACTAGCCGAATATTTGACAAAGATAAGAAATGGCAAAAAGAAACAGACCCTATGGCCACAGCCTGGCAATGGAAACTTGGCGACACAGGTAGACTGGGCTGCCCGGAGAGGACAGGCTGTGCTCCCACTGCCAGTGGGGAGACATAGAGACAGAGGTGCACTTCCTACTGCACTGTGTCAAATATTCTGGGATTAGAGAAACATCCTTCAAATCTAATCCCAGAATTCCCGCACCTGCCAGAATCACAAGAAGTCTCAGTCCTACTGGGAGAGGGAGGAAGGAACTCAGCTGAACTGGCAGCACAGTATGTGATCTCTTGTCAGCCTGAGGAACAGTGAGCCTATCTCCCAATACTTCTCCATATGTCTATATGTAAATATCTTATGATTGTGTCTTTATTGTAAATGTCTGTTGATTTTTGTTTTATGTTAATTGTATTTCTTTTGCTTTGGCAACACCAATTTTACTAATCAGTCATGCCAATAAATAATTCACCTTAGACTGAATTAATTTCTGCAGTAATCAGGTGAACTAATTTAAAGGTGGACTGTGGTACTGTAAATGAAATGAAGAATATTACAAAAAAAAACCTCTGGCTAAACTTTATATAACATAACATTACATAACATCACTTTATTAGCCCCATACAATTTCTTGCATTAGGAATTTGTCTTTTTCGCATACCCCAGCTTCTTCTCCAAGAGACACAGACACACAGACAGGGAGAGAAGCTTGGGGTCAGAGCGCAGGGTCAGCCATTGTACAGCGCCCCTGGAGCAGTTGGAGTTAAGGGCCTTGCTCAGGGGCCCAACGGAGTAGGATTCCTCTGCCGGCTGCTGGATTTGAATTGGCAACCTTCCAGTCACAGGCGCAGATCCTGAGCTACAGAGCCACCGCTCCACCGTAGCACAAGAATTGAGTAGCGTGATTTATCTTGTGGAAATTGTGTTTTGACACTTAATTAGCATTTTCTTTTACCAAAATATTTTTTTGGTAGAGATGAAGTTAAGGGATTACGCTCTGTGAGTGGTATTCACAGTGCCCTGTGTTTCAGATGGAGCTGGAGCGAGCCAAGACACAACTGAAGTCCATGCTGATGATGAACTTGGAGTCCCGGCCGGTCATTTTTGAGGATGTGGGCCGGCAGGTCCTGGCCACAGGCAAGAGGAAACTGCCACATGAACTCTGTGAGATGATCAGTAAGTGTGTCCTGGAGGATTTTGTTTTTTCTTTTTATTTCATTTGTAGTTTCTCCCCACACTGCTAATCCAATCATGAGATGATGTCAACCCAAGGATCTGAATTCAAGTGAGCACTTAATCTGGCAAAAAAGTATACTTTAACTTCAGATTCCATGTTTAATAAGCAGCAGCCATATCACCCTGCAACACACAACTGGCAACCCACTGAAGCTAAGCAGGTGTGAGCCTGGTCAGTACCTGGATGAGAGACCTCCTGGGAAAAACTAAGGTTGCTGCTGGAAGAGGCGTTAGTGGGGCCAGCAGGGGGCGCTCACCCTGTGGCTCATGTGGGTCCTAATGCCCCAGTGTAGTGACGGGGACACTATACTGTAAACAGGCGCCGTCCATCAGATGAGACGTAAAACCGAGGTCCTGACTCTCTGTGGTCATTAAAAATCCCAGGGTGTTTCTCAAAAAGAGTAGGGGTGTAACCCCGGCATCCTGGCCAAATTTCCCCATCGGCTGCTATCAATCATGGCCTCCTAACAATCCCCCCCTGTGAATCGGCTTCATTACTCTGCTCTCCTCCCCACCGATAGCTGATGTGTGGTGAGCGTTCTGGCGCACTATGGCTGCCGTCGCATCATCCAGGTGGATGCTGCACATTGGTGGTGGAGGGGAGTCCCCATTACCTGTAAAGCGCTTTGAGTTGAGTGTCCAGAAAAAGCGCTATATAAGTGTAAGCAATTATTATTATTATTAGTGGCTAAACCAGGTGATGCACACACTGGGCTTTCTAATTCAGAGATAATGGATCCGAATTATATCCCACTGGTTCGAATGTGGGATGTATCATGAGTTGATTGGGAAACAGATTAGCTGATTGGCAGCCAGGATTGTTGAGACCTTGTAGTCGACCAGATTATTCTCGGAATGCAGTGTTATCACTAACAGATACATTAAAGAAGCAGCTGGCTGAGGGCTCCAGAGCCACTTCTAATGGCACTGAATTACAGGCTGACAATAGTTCATACAGTACTACTTCTAATGTGGATTATGTAGTTAACTGTGACCCAGATTCAAAAAGCAACAGCAGAATGTTAACCTGGCTGGGTGCTGCCAGTGTATCCTTTGAAGCTCCTCCAGCTGGCCAGATAGCACTGATGAAGCATGCTTTAGAGGCAGTAAATCACGACTGATTCAACACTTGTTGAAGCTTAATAGTTATTTTTTAATTTTCGGCTTTAAATGTCAATGACATTTAAATTTAAATTCTTAAATTCATTTAGATTCTATGCTTACCATTTCATGAAGTTCCACTAATGTATTTTGCTTCTTTTAAAATTTCCAAATGGTAAATGAGTTTTGACAAGTGTTCTGCTTAGTCTGACGCAAGATGTCTGTAAATTGAGACTATGCTTTAAAGAAAAGGCAATTTTTGTATCCTTTGAATTCTCTAGGTAAAGTTACAGCAAGTGACATCAAAAGGGTGACAACGAAGATGCTGCGCAGTAAACCAGCTGTGGCTGCACTGGGAGACCTGACAGAATTGCCCACACACGAGCACATCCAGGCAGCCTTAACAAGTAAAGACGGGCGATTGCCACGGATATACAGGCTGTTCAGATAGATATCAGCACTGACCGCTTTGTAACATAAACAGAAGTGGGAATTTCCTCCAAAATTACTGTTGAAATGGGGTGTAAATACATTAGCTCCAACTCTTATTTTTTTCTGTAAAACATTTGAAAAACTTTGGAACTTTGTTTGCATTTAGTCTTAAAGGAGCGTCATTACATACGGTTCTAAACCGTGTTTTTACAGTCTTTGGGAAATGGCTTTTCTACTGAAATCTGTTGCAGATATCAACTGAATTAGTATTGACAATTGGGACACCATAGGGAAA